GCAGGGGGCGAAGCCCTTACGGATAGAAATGTGGTACACCTTGCACAACGGATGCGGAGGATGGGGGAGCGGAGAAGGTCCGCCAACCTCGAAGATCACAGCTGCATTCGCCTTCAAGGCAAACGCACTGGGATGCGGAAGGCTGTGCAACGCAACCCGTGCGCATAGCCCACACGAGCTCTACGAATCCTCGACCCTGGCGGCTCCCCCACTGCGCAGCACCGCCGGACGATCAGTGAAATCCGACCTGCACGTGCTGCCGCGCCCTGGAACTGTACGAATCGCGCCACAGGGCAAGCAAGGCTTGCGGGTCCTTCGACAGCTCTTGTGGGGCCTGGGAGCTGGCCGAACTTGGACAAGTGCTCGAACTCGTCGACACCTGCCGCGAAAAACTCGCCGGATAATCATCATCGAATTCGCCCCTGCCGGCACGCTTGGCGGATGATGTCTTGCCTGCAGTACGGCTGGGATTGCTGGCGCAGCTGGAACACGTCCTGCTGCAGGCGCTTCCAGCGCTGCTGCCGCTGAGGCGTCCGCTGGCCGCCGATTGCGTGATCCGCGCAACGCCATCTTTCGACACCCTCCACCTGGTGTCCACGGTGACGGACAAGCCCCGTCGGCTTGCGAGGCTGGGGTTCGCAGTGCGCCCACACGACTCGCACAAGCGGCCATGCAGCATCGTGAGGCGCGTCTCCATCTGTCCCGTGATGTTTGTGCTGAAATCTCTGGCGAGTGGGGTCACGTCGGATGACTCTTTCACGAAATTCGCCATTCTTCCAAGCCGCGGTACCAGGAGCCCGAGCTCAGCTGTGGACTTGAAACTGAAGCGCCGGCACGGCTGCGAAGTCGGCATATCGGAAATCCTCTGCGAAAGGTGCGCCAGGCCGAAACTTGAGCCAGAGCGGCAATTAATTTCGCGTTGTCTTGGCGCGATGGGGGTAATGGAATCCTTTTCCCCCCCACACCTTCCAGCCCCATCAATCACTGACGGACGGGGCTCGAGGCAACGCACGAGGACCAACAAACTTACACTTCGACGTTGGACTTTGGTGTATGGTGGTGGGCGACGTGAGACTCCTGCGTGTTCTGTTAGCTGGTGCCGAATCAACTTGACGCCGTGGATGTGACCACCTCTTGTCCCGCCACACTTCGGCAGATTGTGCGACATCTCCCATACGATGCTGGCTTAAGAGGTCCTCAATCATGTTGTGGGTAGTTGGAAGGGTGTGATGGAAATTCGCCCAGTGGCCACCCGTCGCCGCCTCATCGTAGCCCCATGCTCTGAGCGGGCTGGATGCGCAAGGCTCTCGCGTGGTGGGCGCCCATCGCCGCCTGGTCACCGCCCCGTGGGCCAGCTGGGTGTGCCACGTCTTCGCGCGGTGGACGCGCGTCACCACCTCGTTGCCGCCTCGTACGCTGGCTGGGCGTGCCCCGTTCTCATTCAGTGGGCGCCCGCCGCCGCTTCGTGGTCGCCAAAGCTTGTACATCGTAGAATGCACCCTGCCACTTGCACCTCCATGTGTCCGCTCCCTGGAAACAGCGCCAAACTCTACCCCCATCCCGAGGCGGGAGTCAGGGTTACCCCAATGCTTGCTGCGTTATCACCTCTGCTCTGCAGGATCATTCATCAGCTTGCATTTGAAGCCATTTCCTACCCCTACCCGTATCGAACCCCCTACCCGTATTTATCTCAACTATCCGGTGGTGTTGGGTCCTCGTTTTGAAGAGACGGTCCCCGCGTTTTTTCTTCGTTGCTTCCTCCTCCCCCTCTCCTCCCTCCTCCCGTTCCCCCCCCCCCCCCACCCCTCACACGCTTCGTGTCCCCTCAGGGAACTCCACCGAACGTGCCAGTGGGACCGCCCGCATGCGTCATCCACCACCCAGTACAGCGCTTCGTGGCCCCATACAGAGCTCCACAGAAGGCTCCTTTGGAACCGCCCGCATGCGTCATCCACCACCCAGTACAGCGTTTCGTGGTCCACTAGGGAGCACCACAAAAAAGGCCCCAGTGGGACCGCCCGCATGCGTCATCCACCACCACCACAGCGCTTTGTGGCCCCATAGTGAACTCCACTGAAGGCCTCGGCGGGGCCGCCCGCATGCGTCATCCACCACCCAGCACAACACTTCGTGGATCCATAAGGAGCTCCACCGAAGGCCCCAGTGGGACCGTCCGCATGCGTCATCCACCACGTACAGCGTTTCGTGGCCCCATACAGAGCTCCACCGAAGGCCCAAATGGGACCGCCCGCTGGCGTCATCCACCACCCACCACAGCGCTTCGTGGCCCCATAGGGAGCTCCACCGAAGGCCCCAGTGGGACCGCCCGCATGCGTCATCCACCACCCAGTACAGCGCTTCGTGGCCCCATACGGAGCTCCACCGAAGGCCCAAGTGGGACCGCCCGCATGCGTCATCCACCACCCAGTACAACGCTTCGTGGCCCCATTGGGAGCTCCACCGAAAACCCCAGTGGGACCGCCCGCAGGCGTCATCCACCACCCAGTATTGCGCTTCGTGGCCCCATAGGGAGCTCCGCCGAAGGCCCAAATGGGACCGCCCGCAGGCGTCATCCAGCACCCAGCATTACAGTTCGCGGCTCCATATGGAGCTCCACCGAAGTCCCCACAGGGACCGTCCGCAGGCGTCATCCACCACGTACAGCGCTTCGTGGCCCCATAGAGAGCTCCACCGAAGGCCCCAGTGGGACCGCCCGCAGGCGTCATCCACCACCAAGTACAGCGCTTCGTGACCCCATAGGGAGCTCCGCCGAAGGCCCCAGTGGGACCGCCCGCGTGCGTCATCCACCACCCAGTACAGCGCTTAGTGACACCATAGGGAGCTCCACCGAAAGCCCCAGTGGGACCGCCCGCAGGCGTCATCCACCACCCAGTACAGCGCCCCGTGGCCCCATAGGGGGCTCCACCGAAGGCCCTACTGGGACCGCCCGCATGCGTCATCCACCACCCAGTACAACGTTTCGTGTCCCCACAGGGAGCTCCACCTAAGGGCTCCGTGGCGGAACTCGTATGGGTGCCCAATGGCGTAGTTCGCATGGCGACGACTTTCGATATTCGGGCGTTTTTCGTCGTATTTGACGTATTGAAGCTTTCGGGTCGCGCATCCCGGGCGGGAGCCAGCCTGCTCGCTTTATCTGCTCCGCGCAGCGGACGACCCGCGTGCGTCGCCGGGACCCCTTCGGGGCGACCATCGCGCGTCGCGGGGACTCCGTGCGGCGCCGCGCCCGCAGCCTTGGACGTGGGCGCGCACGGGCAAAGAGGGAGAAGACGAACGGAAAAGAAACGGGCGCGATCCTCGTGAGAGGCGTGCCGTCATGGGCGTCGACGTTTATGCACGTAGACCCACGCGCGCGCAGACTCATCCACAATCAGACTCACTCGCTCTGTCTCTCGCACACAGACCTATCGTCTTCGCTCGCGAAGTGCGCCCCGCCACGCATGTCGGCACGCCCCTCACACGGTTCGTAGCCCCATAGGGATCGCGGGCGAAGATGATATTCATAATTGCGACATTCACAACTGCATATGGTTGGGCCCTTCGCCAGGCTAATTTCTACAGAAGCAATGCTTGCGGTGCGCATGCGTTGGTGCGGGAAGAGCAATGTGTCCACAACATTATAGTATAAAACCATCTACGCGGGCCACATAGCTCGTTCGCGTGCCCGCAAGTCACACTAATCCAAATCAGAGGATTTAATAATACTGTCAGGATGCTCTTGTTCAACATTGTACGGCCGACCAATTGCGTCTCAATAGAGCACGTACCAGGAACTCGAAACGTCTGCTTGCGCGCACGTACTCGTCACCCTCATCATCACGATCCTGATCATCGTAACCAGAGTAACCATTGCCATCGTCATCGTCATCGTCGTCATCATGAACATACTCGTCTTCGTCACCACGGTCATCATCGTCACCATCGTCGGTGCCGTCGGTAACCACCACCATCATCATCAACATCATCACCACCACCATCACCAGCACCGTCATCATCATCAGCACCAACATAATCATCATCATCAGCATCATCATCACCATGGTCGTCGCCGTCGATCTCGATGTCACCACCATCACGTGCACGTCCGAGACATGAATCTGCATGAGGCAGGTCCACCCTTTACTGCGCCACTTGCGATTCGCGAGCAAATGCCGATCGATGACTGTACTCACGGTCTGGATGAGTGGTGCCAACAAGTTGAGAGTCGGAGGGTGGGGTGTTAGCACGAGCAGTGCAGTTTACGACATCAAATTCGCTGTAGTGGGTTCATTTACTCCAACACACACAAACTCTACCACCACCACTCCAGCACCGAAGCTGGGGTTCGCGTTCCCCCTCGCGGTATTGGTTTTCTTCTGCATGTCAACAGTTTTTATGCACGATCGTTCATCCTAAACATCAGGAGATGCCATGCTATATACATATGGTTTGGTCTACGACAGCCATGACTTTCCGGTGCCACGACCCGACAGCGCTCTCATCCACGGCATTATGGCCCGATCTGAGTAGACGCATGAAACCCGCCACCCTGCTCCTCCTCCTCCTCCTCGTCCTCCTCGTCCTGCCTCTCCTCCTCCATCTCATCATCTTCGTCCTTTTCATCCTCCTCCTGCCCTTCTTCCAGCCAGCCCGCTTTCTGCTTCGGTTTCTTCTCCTCCTCCTGCTTATCCTGCTCACCCCCTTGTCCTCATTTTTTCCCCTCTCCCTCCTCCGCCTCCTCCTTCTCCTCCTGTCCTTCCTCCTCTCCCTCCTCCGTCGGAGGCAACGATCGCTGGCTGAGCCGTGCACCCAACATCCGGCGGGCACCGCCACCTTCCATTCGTCGTTGCGCCGCCGTCGCCGCCATCGAGAATCATAGCCGTCACCACTGCCGACGTCGCACCCGTCGCAGTCGCTGACGACGCCGTCGTCGTCGTCCTGACGCCGTCGCCGTCGTGACGCCGTCGTCGCCGCCGTCGACTCCGTCCAGCTGAGCGCAGCGCCCACCACCCGGCGGGCACTAGCACCGCCTCGCCGGGGGACTGCTCGCACTCCCAGGCCGCCTCGGGCTCGAACGTCGCAGGAGCGGGATCGTCCTTTGGCAACCGTGGGAGAGGGCGACGACTCCTGCAGCTGCTGCTGCTCCTACTCCTCCTCATGGCTCTCCACGCCGCGCCTACGTAGCTTTTCCTGCTCCTCCTCCTCCTCCTTCTCCTCCTTCAGCTTTTCCAGCTCCTCCGCGGGCCTCCTTCTCCCAGTCCTCCTCCTTATCCTGCTCCTGCGGCTTCTTCTCTGCTTCTGCTTCCGCTTTTGCTTCTGCTTCTCCTCCTCCTCCTCCTCCTCGAGCTGGTGCAGCTGCTGCTGCTTCATCCATTTGTTCTCACGATCCTCCTCCTCGTCCTGCCCTCCTTCTGCCTCAGACCAGGGGGCTCCCTCATGGCAACACTAACCCCCCGAATGCTCCTGGCTCATCGCGTCAGGGATTGATGGCGGCTCGTGTTCGAAACGGGGCTCTTGCCATAATGGCTCTCCTATAAGGCCCTCGTCTTTCAAGGGGGGGGAGGCTTCCCGAAGTGACAAAGAGTGTCTGCAGAGACTTGCGATGAGGGGACTTCGGACGGGTTGGTGTAGCATCGCTGCTGGATGTTATCATCCTTCTTCTTTCTCTTCTACTCCTCCCTGTCCTCCTCCTCCTCCTCCTCCTCTCTCCTCTTCCTCGTCCCCCTCCCCCTCCTCCGACGACGACGGAAGCGACCTCCTCTCTCCTTCTCCTTCAACCTCCTGCCGCTTGCTGCCTCATCATAGACATCCCTCATCCCTTACTCCCTCACCCCCACCCTTCCTGCGCCACCTCCTCCATCCTATCCCTCCTCATACCTCCTCCTCCCCTCATTCCTCCTCATCCCTCCTCTGCCATCTCCACCTCCTCCTGGAGCAGTCAGGAGAGGGGCAACACGGGTGAGGAGGGGCGGCGGCGACGACGACGGCGGCAGCGGCGGCGGCAGCGGCGGCAACGACGACGATGACGGCGACCCCTCGGGGCACACGGCGTGGCGCCTGCACAACGAACGCCGTTGGGCCGGCCGCAAAGGTCTCCATGGGCGAGACGTCCCCCTGGCGCCGAGGTCGTCGTCGTCACCGTCGCCTCCGCTGCCGTCGTCGTCGTCCGTCGCTGGTGCCCGGAGGTCTGCGGATGTGCTCGGGGGCGTCTAGCGGTCTTCGGAATGCACGAAAGGTCTCGGGAAGGCCATCGCTGCCATCGTCGTCGCCCACCTCTCGCCGCCCGCGGAGTGGTCTCCCGGAGGAGGAGGAGGAGGAGGAGGAGGAGGAGGAGGAGGAGGAGGAGGAGGAGGAGGAAGAGGAGGAGGAGGAGGAGGAGGGGGAGGAAGAGGGCGAGGAGGAGGGCCGTCGCTTCCGTCGTCGTCGTCACCACTCTCCACTTGGCCTGCTGGGGCTGTAAGATCTGCAGAGAGAGGGCCCCGACCCGCCTCGCCAGCCCTGCACACCTCGGCTGTCCGGCCCCGAGAATATCCCGGTGATCCCCAGGTGGCCGGCCCTGCGCATGCCGCGGCGAGCCAGGCCCCCAAGGGATCCCCGTGAGTCCACAGTGACGGCATGGGGCACTCAAGCGTACAGAGCAGGCGTAACCAGCACGCAACCCCACCAGGGGGGGCGTCACGGCATCACGCCGTCCACAGCAAAAATGGAAGAGACACGACGAGCATACACTGAGGACGTGCCCCGAGGAGACGCGTCGGGAACCTACGAGAGCAACACATACAGCAACGAGGCACATCACGGACACTCACCAAGAGCAGAGACCAACAATTTACATCAAGACTGCACACCAAGAACATGAATCGATCATAGACCCCCAGAACAGACAACCATAACATACCCCATTCGCCATCACCAATAACATGACAGACATCAATCGCAGACGCACCGAAAAGACAACACCACTTGCACCGACAGCATACATCCAGTTTAGACGCCAGCGTAAACAAAAACACATCAATAACATACGCCAAGAACGGGATCCAAGGACTTGTTAACAGTACACATCAGCAACAGTCATCAAACACATACTCCAATATCAGTACAACTGCATGCACCACGAAAAACGGCATCAAAGAACATGCATCGCGGAAAGACACCCGAAACGTGCCCGAACAACATCAAGAACGAGTGCCCCCCACACAAACTCCTGGTCGTCCTTTGGCGTGGATGAATATGACGAGAAACAACCATCGAGACAACCGCTTTCATCCATCGAACAATCTCTATCAATCTCTCGGTCGATCCAAAAACATTCCGCTTTCAATCCATGTATGCGACTATTCATCGATCGAACACACTGTCTAGACACCTGTAGATCTCACTAACCATCCATCGATATGATGATCGATCTATCGATCTGACTATCTATATCCCGATCCCACTATTAAAACATGTGTCGATGTGTCTGTCTACCGGCCTCACGAAATATCGATCGATCGCACGGTCAATCAATCAATATGCCCACGAGACAATCACTCATCGGGGCAACCATCAGGCCAACCATCGGGACAACGATCGGAACAACCATCGACCAAACCATCGGGACAATCAGCAGGACAATCATCCGGACAACCGTCGGGACAACCATCGGAGTAGCTATCGGGAACATCATCGGGACAACCATCAGGAAATAACATCGGGACAACCATCGGGACATCCATCGCGACAACCGCGGGACAACCATAAGGACAACCATCGGGGAATTTAACCATGCTGACAAACATCGTTCCAACCATAGGGACAATCATCGGGACAACCGTCAGGACAATCATCGGGAAAACCATCGGACAAACAACAGGACAACCATGGGGACAACCAAGGGACAACCGCGGGACAATCATTAAGCCCGATCCGCGAACCAGGGAGGGGGCGGCAGATCATGTGCTCCAACTTCGCACTAGTAACGGCGGGATCGCTCCTCTCGCCAGAGCACGCAGCTTCGCCTCGCCCGTACGCGCGGCACGAACACACGACCAAATTCGTCTTGAAGGTCGCTGGGGGGGCAGCGTTGTCTCCAGGGCCAGATCCCCGTACGCTCGGCGGGCGTGCTTGATCGGTCAACATCAATCCTTACAGCCGCCCGTCGCGAGAAGCTCTGATTTCAGGTTTTCTCTTGCCGACGATTGGGCTGCTCATGCTTGCTCTTGCCCTACAAAAGCAGTGCCCTCTCCCCCGTCGCCCCAGAAACCCAGATCGCGTTCGCTGCCCCTCAGCGAGCTTCAAAAATCGTCTTCCCGATAGGGAATCTCCGTTTCATATCGATCTCACCGCCTAACCTCCGATACACACGTCTATGTACATACATATGTATGCATACTCACACATATATACATATATTCATTAACATATGTAATTCAACTGTATAAATATGCATGCATCTAGCGCTAGTGGTGTAACTGTATGCGTACACCCACATCTGTATATGCGCAAACACAGATTAGTGTCCATATATGAATCTAGAGAGGTTAGGGCACGTGTAGCTAGAACGGACGAGAGGGTCCATATCGATGAGTACAGAGCATGAGCTGGGGAGACAGAGGAGCGAGGAAGAGAGAGAGAGAGAGAGAGTGCTATATATATATATATATATATACAATTTGCAGGATGGATTAAGTGCTTGCAGGCCAAATAACCACATTATATCTACGATACCAACGAAAAAAAGCACATCAGCGTCTTCGTTGCTTACCAGGACATGATTTGATGCTGCGCCTCGTGGACGACGACGGCGACGGAGGTGAGGACACCAACGTAACACCTTCGAAGGTCTATTGGGGCTATAAAGCTATCGGGCTACAGGGTTATAGGCCTATGGGGCTATTGGGCTATAGAGCTATAGGGCTATAGAGCTATAGGGCAACAGGCCTATAGGCTGGAAGGCGCTATATGGCGATAGGGCGAGGGCTATAGGGCTATGGGGCTATAGGGCTATAGGGCTATGAGGCTATACGGCTATAGGGCTATGGGGCTATAGGGCTATAGAGCTAATAGGGCTGTAGGGCTATAGGGCTTCAGGGCTATAGAGCTATGGGGTTATAGGGCTATATGGCTATAGGGCTACAAGGCTATAGGGCTAATAGGGTTATAGGGCTATAGGGTTATAGGGCTATAGGGTTATAGGGCTATAGGGCTATAGGGCTGTAAGGCTATAGGGCTATAGGGCTATAAGGCTATAGGGCTATGGGGCTATAGGGCTATAGGGCTACAAAAATATGGGGCACCCTGGCACCCGGGCATCCGGGCGGGCCGCCGAAATCGGCGACGCAGCTCCCGGGCACCCGGTCAACCGGACACCCGGGCGTGCCGCCGAAATCGGCGCCGCAGCTAACCTAACCATATGAATCCGCGAGGACCCCTACAGAGGCAAGATCGGATTGGGAAAGATGTACACACATATACATATGATACAGGAAAAACCACCTATCAGATAATTTGTTCAGGGCTATAGAGCTATAGGGCTGTAGGGCAACAGGGCTATAGGGCTAAAGGCTATAGGGCAATAGGGCTGTAGGGCTATAGGGCTATGAGGCCATGGGGCTATAGGGCTGTAGGGATAGATTGGCTATAGGGCTATAGGGCGATAGGGCTACAGGAGTATAGGGGTATAGGGTATAGGGCTATAGGGCTAAAGGGCTAGGGTTATAGGGCTATAGGCCTGTAGTATATAGGGCTATAGGGCTGTAGGGCTATAAGGCTGTTGGGCTATAGGGCTATAGGGCGATAGGCTGTATGGCTATAGGGCTATAGGGCTATAGGGCTATAGGGCTGTAAGGCTATAGGGCTGTAGGGCTATAGGGCTATAGGGCTGTGGGGCTATAAGGCTACAGGGATATGGGGCACCCGGGCACCTGGGCACCCGTACCCGGGCGGGCAGCCGAAATCGGCGACGCAGCTCCAGGGCACCTGGGCACCCGGGTACCTGGGCACCCGGGCGAGCCGCCGAAATCGGCGACGCAGCTCCCAAGCCCCCCGGCCCCCGGGCACCCAGGCACATGGGCACCCGGGCGTGCCGCCGAAATCGGCGACGCAGCTAACCTAACCATATGAATGAATCCGCTAGGACCCCTACAGAGGCAAGCTCTGATTGGGGAAGATGTACGCACATATAGATACATACGCATTGGAACCGCGAGCGCGCTTTGCGCGCCGAGGTTCTGGCAAGCTCTAGTTGTCGTCTACAGTGTTCAGCACCGCAGGACATGTTGTCACACGGATCGTGCCCCCCCAAGGAGCTCAACCTGCGGCCCCAGAGACAACCTTTCTTAGCTTCCCCCCGCCCATGTCCGCACAGCCCTCACAGGGATCGCGCCCCACAGAGATCTCCACCTACGTCCCCAGAGGCAAGATTCGCATAGTGGCGCGCCCCATCACGCAGATCGTGCCCCGAAAATCATTGCATCTTCGGCGCCAGAAGGAAAGTTCATAGCGTCGCCCCCTCACTCCGGCACACCTCTCCCGCAGACCGTGTCCCGCAAGGAGTGTCACGGACGGCCCCAGAGGCAGGGCTCGCATCCCCCCCCCGCCTACTTCGGCACACCTCTCACACGGAATCCTGGCCCACATGGATCTCCACCTGCGCGGCCCCAGAGGCAGGGTCCGCACACCGCCCTACCCTGGCCATTGCAGCACACCCCATCACGCAGATCGTTACCACAAGGAGCACCACCTAGAGGCCCAGAGACAAGGTTCGTTCAGCGCCCCTCCCGTCCAAGTCGGCACACCCTACACGCGAAGCGTGCCCCACAAGGAGCTCCACCTATGGCATCAATTGGCAGCTTCGCATGGCGCATGGCGTCCCCCCGCCCATTTTGGCACGTGCCTCGCACGGGTCGTGCCAAGAGGTCCGCCTGCGGCCCCAGTGGGCGTCTTCGCGCGGGGGCATCCGAATTATTCGGCACACCCTTCACGCGGATCGTGCCCCACAAGGAGTTCAGCGCACGTGTGCACGTGTGCACCGCGGCAACCATCTTTTCGCATGGCCTCGCGGCGCGCAGTGGATGATGAAAGATCCGCGCCCTACGCTATACATGACTGCATAGGGAGGGGTCCGTCGCCCTCAAAAAATGCTAGCTTATCTATGGCCTTCCGTTCATACAGCTACTGTGCCTGAATTTTGAGCCAGAGGATTCTTGGATACACCTGTAATCCGGAGTCTCTTGGCATGGTTATCGGGCGCCTCGTGAAGGAAGTTTTGAACCTTCTTGTGGCTTCATGTGGGCCCCATGGGGGCCTCTTGGGGCCTCTTTTGGGGCCCCCTTGGGGGCCTCTTGGGTGCCTGCGGTGGCCTCGGGGGCCCACTCGTGGCTGAAGGCTCGAAATTTCAATTGGAATTTACCCACTTGGACTCCTGTTGGGGCCATCTTGGTCCGTCTGGGCTCCTCTTGGACCGTCTTCGGGCTCTCTTGGGCCGTCCTGGGGCCCTATTGGAGGCCTCTTGGGCCGTCTTAGGGCGGTCTGCGGGGCCTCTTGGGCTGTCTTCGACGCTGCTCAGACCCAAAATTTGAAAATGAGAAACATGCACGTTTCCCAGGGGGGACTGAAACAAACTAAGCCTCCTGGGACCCTCTCGGGGCACATCTTAGAAACTTCTTGGGACGTCTTCGGGGCCTCTTCAACCGTCTGAGAACAATATGCGGATGTCTTCGGCCCTGTCAGGCCGCTATGGTCGCTTTTTGGTAGCCTCTGGAGCTGTTTTGATCGGCGGGGGGGAAGCCCGGGAGGCCGGAAGAGGTCAAAAATGTCGTGCGCCGAAGAGAGGAGGTCGGGGATCTTCTGACCCGGGTCAGTCCAGACCCGGGTCAGCAGGAAACCAAAAACTGCAATGCAGGAAAAAAAAAAGCTGCAACGCAGATCCTCGCAAACCCGGGTCAGCCAATATGCAAGGCCGCCTCGCGGCCACGAGCGGCTCGCAAACCCGGGTCAGCCAGAGGGGGCCTTCGCAGGATCCTGCAGGATCCGGCGCCCTGGCTGACCCCCGTTTGCACTGACCCCCGTCTCGAGGCTCCCGAGGAGGAGAATATGGGAGGCCGTCCCGGCCTGGACCCAGGGCCTGAGGTACCCCAGCATGTGTGTATACATATATATATATATATATACACACAAGACTTGAAGCTCGCTGCGCTTCGCTTGGAGGTCTTGGCACGATGCGCTGGCGTGCAGTGTGCGAGCGAAGTGCGACTATGCGGGCTGAAGCGTCGGCGATGGGCAGGGACGGGGATGGGAAGGTCACGGCCGCATGGGCGTCGGCCCATGGAGTGCGCGCGCGCCGTGCGCGCGCGCCGAGTTGGCAAGGGGCGACGCACGCGACGGTCATCGGCGATAAGATTAGGCGGGCACGCAACGCCGAGGGCAAGGGAAGGGAGAGGGAGGCGTCGGATGAGGTGAATACAACGAAAAGGGTGCTGGCAACGATGGTGGCCTCATACCTCTGCAGATTTGGGTTGGGAAGGTCACGGGCGGCGACGCCGCACAGTTTGGTGACGATGTTTTTTCTCACTGAGTGTGGGGGCGATCCTGACGTGGTGCTCTGCAGAATCGGAGCGGCGACGAACGCCCCCGAGCCTGCTTGAAAAAATCGGCGTGTAGCTCAGCGTCCCGGACTTCCCGAAAGGAAGCGTTCGCGCGCCTGGTGTGCAAATCTCCACGGCTCGGTGGGCGGACCCTGCAGGGCACCTTACTTCTTGGACATCTTCGCTGGCTTCTTGGTCACTGGGGCTGTCGGCGTCGCCGCTGCAGGGCGCTTGCGGGGCCCGCTGGGCTCTGCCGTGGGCGAAGGGAGCGCTGACGGCACGGTGTCCTGCGTGGGCGTGTTCGGTGCGCACGAGGCCCACGTGATGAACTGAGGGTATTTTTTGTGGAGGTTGCGCAGCGGGGTGAGCAACTTGCCCGGGACGTTACTTGCAGCCAAGAAACAGAAGGAGTGAAGCTCCTTGACTGTCTTGTCGGTGCCGTCCATCATCTTGAACTGCCTGGTGAGGCTGAGGCGGTTGTTGGTTTGGGCTGAAGTGATCTTGAAACTCGAGTGTTTCTCATTCGCAGGGACCTCAAAGTCGGCCTCGAAGTAGCTGTGCGTGAGAGTGTCCGCGGTGAACTTGAGGACGTGCTTGTGGGCGGCGGCGGCGGCGGTGCGCGGGTTCAGTCCGAAAGCCACGTGCACGTGCGCCCAGCTCGGATTGGGGTTCCCCTGGGCCTGGGGACCCCACTGGGCCCCGGCACCCCTGTCTGCCCCGTGCCCTGCTTTCTTCTACTTTCCCGTCCCCGTGAGCTCCACTTTCGTCTCCAGGGACAAGGTTTGCATTGTGTCCCTCACTCCCATATTGGCACACCCTTTATACGGATCATGTCCCTGTGATGCAGTGGTTCCGAAGCCTGCACGATCGCCCACTTGCACTGGCTGCGCCCCGGTGACGGAGTAACGCTTGCTGGGTGCAGACCCTGCGGGGAGAGGGGTCCTGATGGCCTCCTGCGGTTGCCCGCAAACCCCATCGAGACAGGCCACCATGGCGACGACGCCAACGGCAGCGGTAGCGGCCGCGACGGCCCCCCCGTGCGTGAATGGGGCCCAGGAACACACAAATAAATCCGCCTGCCCTGTCGGCGTGTGGACCCCCTGTCGGCGTGCGCTCAGTCGACGCATCCGTTGTCCTCTCTGCGTCTCCGTCGTCCCCTTTCCCTGCACCCTCCTCTTCAAGCCTGCCAGCGAGAGAAACCGTAGCAACGTCGTACTGAAGTCGAAGGGAAGCCCCTTCCCTTTGATCCCTCCCCCGCCGAGGGGGGTGGTGGTCCCGGGGGGGGGGTCAGATACGCATCCGCCCCTGGGCGTCCTGGAGCCCAAAAAAGCGCCAAGACGCGCCAAGAGGGCCCCAAGCAGGCCCAAGAGGACCACGAACCGACATTTAGAGCTTCCCGCCCCAAGAAGCCCCCAGAAGGCCCCACGAGCCCCTCAAGGGGCCCGAAGAGGCCCCCAAGAGACACCCAAGAGGCCCAACAGAGGCCCCAACAGGCCCGAAAACATCCAAGAGGCCTTTCAACCACAACCCCAGCACGGTGGCGGGAAGGGCCGCAGACCACAAGGCTCCATGTCTGTCTCTGCTACGACTCACTCGGCCCACATGCCGAACATCTCCTTCGCCTTCTCCTGCTCCCTTCCACCTTAATCCCCCTCCTCCTCCTCGTCCTCCTCCTCCTCCTCCTCGTATTCGTCGTCGTCGTTTTCAGGGTCGGCGGCACCGGCCGTAAGGCCTAAGCAGAAAACAGAAATCCCAGAATTCCCAACATGCCCTCCACTTCCAATGTTCTCCTATCTTTTTACGATAATTGTTGTCTGTGCCCTTTTTCTCCCCTCTTGACTGAGGAACTCCAAAGCCCTCCGGAGAGCTCCGAGCCCTCCGAACACTGTTGAGAGCATTCCAAAAACACGAGACAGCGCAAAAGAGCCTGCGAAAGCCGCCGACTCCGTAGACGACGACGACGACGAACGCGAGGGTCGGTGGCGACGACGACCGCGGCCCCCGAGGTCCCCCACGGGTCCCTCGAGGTCCTTCCGAGGCCCTGCCGAGACCTCCAGAGCGCTCCGAAGACCGCCAGGAACCGCCGAGCACATCCGCAGACTTCCAAGAAACTCCGAGCGACGACGACGACGACGACGACGACGACGGCGGCGGCGGCGGCGACGAAGACGACGACTTCGCCGCCAAGCGAACGCCGCGTCCATATACACCTTTGCAGCCAGCCCCGCGGCCTTCGCGGTGCAAAAGGGCACGGCGTGCACCCCAACGGGTCGCCGTCGCGATCGCCGTGGCCGATCTTGGAGACCCTGAGCCGAGACATGTTGGCGTCTTCCGCTCCCCCAATACCAGCGTCTTGAAACAAAAATCAAGACGGATCTGTTCCGTCGTTTTCGGCCACTGGGGGCACTCGCAGGGCCGCGGGACCGTCTGAAAAGCGACTCGGGATGAAAAGCCGGCACTGGAAAAGGCCAGGACCTGTTTGGGACCGCGTACTGAAAAACTCAGGACCTCGCACGTCCCCAGAGATCCGAAGTGATCTCTCCAATACGGCGTCCCTGGAGACCTCGACCCCTCCCTGGGGACCGGATTTTCATCCTGAGTCGTTTATTGACGGACGGTGCGGGGGCCGGGTGAGGGCTTACAGAGGCCGAAAATGGCCTCAGCCCCATCCTGATTTTCCCAATACGTTGGATCGCTGGGGAGCGGATCCACCGGATCGACGTGGCCCCCTTGAAAGCGGCGGCGTCTGCGGGGACAGCAAGCGAACACAACCACATCGAGGACGCATCCTGGGGGATACCTTAGGCATGCCAGCAATCGACAGAACACCAGAACCAGCTTGGTAATGGTCGTGATGATGTGGTCATCCCAGACTGCAAAAACGACCAGAACCACAAAAAGAGTGCTAATGTCGAGGTCGGCAGGTTCTCTCCCGAGGGACCCTCCAGAAAAATCCACTCCGTGGTGGTTGGTGACGTGCTCAACTGCACCGCTGAAAGCTCGATATTCATTCAATCAAGCCATAAAGAAGCTGCTGGCTGCACGGGACTCGCCTACTATGGGGCTTGTGAGCTTGCTAACTAGCCTCTCTGGGCGGCGCGTGGCGGGTTCTCCCTCGAGGGACCCTCCAACAAAAGTAAGCTCCGTTGTGGTTGTAGCTTTTTTGTTGCGCCCGCAGCGTTGGCGGCGGCGGCGAGCCCTCGCAAGCCTGGCCGCAGAGGGCGCAGCCCGGCGGCAGCAGCCGCCAGCTGCGCCGGCCCAGCAGCAGGCAGTCCCACCGCACCGCCTCCGGCGTGGCCCCCCACCCCCGCCGGCGGCGGCGGCGCCGCCGCCGCCGACGACGCCGACACAGATCCCCAGAGATGCTGGCTGGGGCGATGTTCCACCACCACTACTTCTGGATAGGACAGGGGAAAAGGGAGGAGGGGGGAGGTCCTCCTCCTCCTTCTCCTCCTCCTCCTGGTTCCTGGTTCCTGGTTGCTGGCGGCTTGACATCCCAGCGGGTGCAGCCTCCTCTCCTCCTCCTCCTCCTCCTCCTCCTCCTCCTCCTCCTCCTCCTCCTCCTCCTCCTCCTCCTCCTCCTCCTCCTCCTCCTCCTCCCTCCTCCCCTCCTCCTCCTCCGCCGCCTCCCCCCCTTCTTCCTCCCTCCTCCTCCTCCTCCCCCTTCCTCCTCTTCGTCCTCCTCCTCCTCCTCCTCCTCCTCCTCCTCCTCCTCCTCCTCCTCCTCCTCCTCCTCCGCCTCCTACTCTTCCTCCTCCTCCTCCCTCCTCCTCCTCCTCCTCCTCCTCCTCCTCCTCCTCCTCCTCCTCCTCCTCCTCCTCCTCCTCCTGGTTCCTGGTTCCTGGTTGCTGGCGGCTTGAGATCCCAACGGGTGCAGCCTACCCTCCCCCTCCTCCTCCTCCTCGTCCTCCTCCTCCTCGTCCTCCTCCTCCTCCTCCTGCTCCTCCTCCTCCTCCTTTTCCTTCTCCTCCCTCTCCTACCTATTGGTGGTGGGAAATCGGCCCATCAAGGGATGCGGTTCGGCCTCGGCTCCGTTCCGATGCAGTCCGAGCTGACGCGCGTTCCGATCCGACCCAGCGCATTGGTGCGGTGTTGGCCACTCCTGCCCTGGCCACGACGGCCACATCAGCGATATCGCGGGCGGATGCCTAGCGGCAGCCGGCGGCGGAAGCATGCGGCGGCGCCTCCGCCAGCGAGGGGCTGGTGGAAACAGACCCAGACCCAGAGACCCAACGCACGGAGAGAGTCGGGACGTGTTTTGCGGCACTCGGCCTCTGGAAGCACTCGCCTGGTCCCAGGGCCGTCAGCAGACGGCTCGGGATGAAGAGCCCGCCCTCGGGGGAGGGTCGAGGCTTCCGGGGCCCCCGTCTTGAGAAAATCATGACGTCGGATCTCTGGGTCCTCGCGGCGGAGACGGCGACGGCGGCGGCGTCGACGATCGCGCCGCCCTGTGATGGCGAGCGGCACGCTCGTCTTCGGTCGCGTCCTCGCCGGCTCCGTTACCCGGAGGTTCTGTGCCAATTTCCGTGGATCTGCTGCGACCTCTGGTCTTCCTGATCCTGCCCCCCATCTGGGGAAACCAGGCAGGCACCGATACCGCCAACTCCCCGGGCCTCTCGCGTGGTGCGTTCAGACTTGAATGTCGAGCCGAATCCAACAGTGGCGACGAGGGCCTCCAACGAGAACCAAAAAGAGGAAAACGAGGCACGGGTAGCGGCATCGGTACCTCTAGCTATCGCAGACGTGGACAGCAGCGTCGACGTCAGCTTCGACGACGCGACGGCTTCGACCTCGACGACTTCGAAGACTCCAGCAACGACGACGCTGGCGCTGAGGCCGACAGTGCGTCCTCGTCGACGTCGTCGTCGTCCTCGTCGACACCTCGACGTCGTCGACGTCGACCACGCCGGCTTCGACTCCAGCGCCGACCCTCGACGACGGCCCCGACGACGGCAGCCTCGACGACGACGACAGCCTCGGCTTCGGCCTCCGCCTTGGCCGACCCCGCATGCCCCACATGCAACAATTTGGCGGCGCGCATAGGGCGGTGGCGCGAGGTGCGCGGCCTTCTCTGAGAAGGCGGAGGAGATTCTCAGAAGGCGGGGGTCGTCTAAGAAAACCTCCCGGCTTCCAAGCAGCCGTGTTCCAAGCCTGGAGGCCCTCCTGAAAAGGCCCCTGCCTTCTGCAAGAAGCGCGCCGCCCTCTTCAAAGGCCGCTCACCTCGCGCAACCCTCTTGCGCCTGCGGCCAACTTTTTGGATTTGGGGCATGCGGAGTCGGCCATGTGGAGGCCGAAGCCGAGGCCGTTGTCGTTGAGGCGGCCGTCGTCAGGGCCGTCGTCGAGGATCGGTGCCGGAGACGAAACCGGCGTGGTCGACGTCGACGACGTCGTTGTCGTCGAGGTTGTCGAGGACAACGTTGACGACGACGTCGACGCTGTCACCGTCGTCCTCGTCGTCACCGTCGACGTCGTCGTCGTCGTCGACGATGCTGGAGTCGAAGACGGCGTGGTCGACGTCGTCGTCTGCTAACCCTGCGATCCTGGCGACTCAATTTTGTTCCAGCTGGACGTCTTTGTTTAATTTCGGGCCCAAACAAAGTCCCCGACACGGCTCGAAGGATGGCGCAGAAAGATGGGATCTGGGGTTCCAGTCGTGATGTTTCACGATGTCTCCATTTTTCGAGGCGTCGGATCTCAGGAAATGGGGGGGCGATGAATTTGGGGGATGGGGGAAAACGAACGTGCACTCTTCGAGCACCTCGTGGGCCCCAGGGGGGGCCCTCTGGGGCCCCTTCAAGGCACAAAAAGTGGACCTTTCGTCACTCACCCCTGTGGCTGATTGAGGAAACCCTGAACCCCAAACTGTTGTCATCTCTTGGGAGGTCGACTAGTCTGTTTCTTGAGACGTCGGATCTCAGAGAGATCTCAGAGAGCTCCCCACTTTGGATGCTCATTCACGGAACCTCGTCCGCGAGAACACTCTGCAGGGGCCCAAGGGCACACAAAGAGATACACACGAGCCCCAGGGTTCCCCACACGTTTCCATTTCTTGGTGGGGGCCAGATCGGGCCACTGGGGACCATCGCGCTTGCTCCCTCCCTGGCCTCGTCCTCGGGGGTCGAGGCGGGAGGCCACGGTTGGAAGCTAAGACTGGACGACGGCTGTGGGATGGAGGAGAAGAGGAAGGGCCCCCGGGGGGCGTAGACCACTGGAGCCTCAGTGCCAGCCCCGAACGGGGCCTGGGCAGCGAGGAGGAGGAGGACAAGTCCCCAATAAGCGCAGATACTGTGCAGGACCTGCGCAGGGACGCTTTCCCCCCTTCATATATCTTCTGGATGATCGTCATCCCCTCCGCTTCCCGTATATCTTCCCATCTGTTCGTGGGGGTTGGCGATGAGCTGTGCCTGACTGTCTCTCTTCCTCCTGAAACACGGGGAGCCACAAGGCGCCGCACCGACTGCTCTCCAGGCCTCTCCCGGGGCGCGTCCTGGCCCGAACCTCGAGGAGAATCCAGCCGCGGCGTGGGTGGAAGCCTCCCCGATGGGGTCGGAGCAAAAGAGGTCGGCGGATCGCGCCGCATCGCCGATGCATCGGCGATGTATCGCCGACGTCGCCGATGCATCAGCGCCATCGGCGAGGATCGAATCGGGCTTCGCATCGAGCCGCATCGCCAATGCATCGGCGATGCGGCGCGATCCTTCGACCCAGTCTGCGCCGACCCCATCTGGCAGGCCTGGAGACAACGGCTCCCCAGGACGAGCAGCTGTATCGGCAATTTTGCGGCGGCGGCCGCGCAAACAACGACCGCGCGAACGACGACTTTCGGCCTGCGAGGCCGGCAGCTTTGCGCGGGCACCCGGCCTGGCACCGAAGGCGGGCCACTTCGAAGTCCGAACACTCGGGGAGCAGAGCGGTACCGAGACCGCCACTCCCAGGTAACACGAAGCCAGGACGAGGATAAAGTCGGGTGAGGACGAATCGAGAATCTCCCAAACCGGCGGCTCTGGAGGATGTCTCGGGCGCCGCGGCCTTCTCAGAGCGTTCTGAAACGCTCTGCGTGCATTCCAGAACGCTCTCACTCACTCACTCACAAGCCATACGCCGTCCGGTGCGTGGGCAGGAACACAATCTCAAGCAACGACGCGACATGGAGGGTGAAACGCTCTGCCGGCTAAGTGGATCAAGAGGAGGAGGAGAAGGAGGAGGAGGACCAGTGTAAACCCAACAGTCATCAACGATGTTGGAATGAACCCTCCCTCGAAGCTCCCTCTTCATAGGCCCCTACAGCGGTTCATTTCCATTGGGCGAACTGACTCGTTGGAAGACAACCGTTTGAAGACCTTGAAGCATGCCAGAACATTATTCTCAGGATTTCCACGCCACGGGTAAACCTTACTGCTGCGTCCTGACAGCCCTGAATCGTGCCAGAACGCCATTCCTGAGACTTCAACACCGCGAACCAACAAAACTGTTGCACCCGCATAACCCTGACTCCTTTCAAAACACCATTCCTGGTATGTTGATGATGGGCATCCGTGAAACTCTTCAAATTTTAAAAACGACTGTACGCGGCGAAAAGGCGACAGCCTCATTTTGGACGACCTGCCTTCAATCCTTCAGACTCTTGCAAATGTTTAAAACAGATGCGCGCGGCGCTAAAGCGAGAACCACATTTCGAACACCACCCGCCCTCCATCCGTGAAACACTTGCAAATGTTGAAAACGAATGTGCGCGGCGCTAAGGCGAGAGCTACATGTTGAAGATGGCCCGCCTTCAATGTATGAAACTCTTGCAAATATTTAACACGAATGTGCGCGAGGACCTACATCTTGAAAAACACCCGCCCTCCATCTGTGAAACTGTTGGCACTTTTCAAGCCTGCGAAACGCCCGGCCTGCCCGAAAAACTGGCCTCGGGGTTCGACAGGGAACAATCATTTAGAAGGAAAAAGAACGGGGGAGGAGGGGGAGGAGGAGGAGGAGGAGCAAGAGTGGAACGGATTTATCCTCGTCCTCGCCCCGTCCGACCATGACCCCTTCCCTGCGGGTTGTCGGAACCCATTGTTGATGGTCCCCAGGCCCGAGGAGGGGCCCCAGAGAGGCCGAGATCGATGAGACAAGCCGCCGGATTGAGGAAAAGCAGACACGCCGCACAGAAGGAGCGGGTCAACTCAGCTCGGGCATGTCCCCCATACAGGCGGATTCTGGACGAAATATAAAAAACAGTTCAAACACGTGCAACAATTATCAAACAGATATAGAAAAATCGTCCCCATACGATTCTTGAACTATTTTTCAGCATTCCTCCTGTAGAGGGACACGCCCGACTGAAGGGTAAACACATGTGAGGCAGGCAAGCGGCTAATATAGACTGGGTCCAGGCCCTCCAGGAGAATGATCAAGCACAGCCAGACCATGCCGATTCTTGAGGTAGGAAAGCGCTTCAAGTAGATTGGGATCAGGGGATCCAGAAATATCTATGAGCCTATTTTTCTTTTCGGCTCAGGCAAGTTTACTTGCATGCCCCCCCCCCTCGCCCCTCTTCAGACGAATACCGGCGTGCAAGTGCCTTTCGACTTGTGTGATCTCCGCACGTGCGAGTCGTTCGGGGCTCGCTTCAGGTTCAGGGCCCCCCCTCCCTCCCACGCAACCAAACTTGCCGGGGCCCACAGAGCAAACAGGCTCCACCTTGCACGACAAGCGTGCGTCCTCGGAGGTCCGAGCCACCGGGACCCCTCCGAGGGGCGCGTCCCCTCCTGGCCCGAGCTCGGGGCGAGCCCCCTGGCGGCGTGGCGGCGAGGGCCGCCCAGGGGGGAGCCCAAGAGAGAGGACGAGAGAGGGAGCGAGGCGGCGGGCCGGGGCGTCGGCACCTCTCCTGGAAGGGGTCCAGGGACACACGTAGAAAGATAGGGGCAGATCCGAGGATTCCCCGCAATTTTTCCCCATGTTCTGGAATTTCCACTTCCCAGATGTTCCCCTACTTTCCTGGGGATGGGCGATTCATGGTGTGTGTACGTGTGTACGTGTGTACGTGTGTGTGTGTGTGTGTGTGTGTGTGTGTGTGTGTGTGTGTGCGTGTGTGTGTGTGAATGTGTGTGAATGTGTGTGTGTGTGTGTTATCCCCCGCTGACTCTGGAAGGGAGAAGACTGATGAGGCGTGTGTTTTTCTTCGGCTCGAACTTGAGATTCAGGAGCAGCTGCAGAGCTCTCCGATCTACCAATCCCTCCTCCTGTTCTCGGCGTGGGCCAGGCTCTAGGCCTGATGCTCGCAGCGTTCGAATCCCACTTCGGCGTTGGCCAGGCTCTAAGCATGATGCGCAGCGTTCGAATTTCTCCTCTTCCTCCTCCTCCTCCTCCTCCTCCTCCTCTTCCTCCTCCTCCTCCTCCTCCTCCTCCTCCTCCTCAGAGCCTCGACTTCGAAAATGTCGGCGGCGGCGGTGCGCGGCGGCGGCGGCATGCGGGTGTTGCGCCGCAGCGGCCTCCGCGAGGTATCGAGCAGCGGCACGGTGAGGGCATCGGATCAGGAATCGCTGGAGAAGGGATCGGGATCCAGAGTCTGGAAGCAGGTGGAACATTAACTCAGGCCTGGCCATGGGTATGGTAGGTTCGTGCGGCGTCGGCACGCGCAAAGGTTTTTGACACCGCGTCGATCGTTCAACCTTGATTCGATCGCGGCACCGCTCGTTCAAGGTTGAATTCCGTCGGGTCCAAAGGCGTCACCTTGTGCCGCGGTGCTTCCGCGTCGCAGAATTCAACCTTGAATGCCTTCGCCGGCGTCGCTGGCGCGCCATTGCGGCATGAACCTACCGTACCACCGCCGCCCTGATCAGCGAAGGAATCCTCCAGGGTCTGAAGCATCCTGGACGCACTCCTTCACGAACGCCCCCACCGTATCGAGCAGGGCTCTCCAGGACGAGCGGCAGACAGTCATCGCGCTACCATGAGGAGCGCGCAACATGGAACGAAACGGCTGTTCAGGCCACGGCGGGCCCAGGCCACAAACAGGCTCCACGACAGAACTCTCAGGCACGGCCCAGCAAACCGAGCCCCCTCCCGAGCCCAGAGCGCTCCTCAGTGCAGCGCCTTGACCGTATATAGGCGTCTCCTCCTCCACCGCAGAAGCGCGGCGGCGGCGGCGGTGCGAAGGCGGCGGCCGCGCCAACGTCGGCCCGCGCTCGGCCTGCGGGTCCCGCCGCATGGGCCCCCGCGCGCCAGCGCCGCCGAGCAGCAGCGCGCGCGGACACCCGGCCTGGCGCCGCCGGTGCGGGGGGGGGCGCGCGCCGCGGCTCGCTGCGGGGGGGCCGTCCGACGGCCGCCGTCGACCCTCGCGAGCGGCGAACACGTCCGCATCCGCGCCCTCGCGGTGTGGGCGCTGGGGCGCGGCCCCGCGGAGACGCGGTTGCACGGGCATGTTCCGCGAGGGGCATCCGCGAAGCAACGCCCCGTATCCGCGGGGTCGCGGCCCAGGGGCCCGGCCCGCGAGTCCGCGATTGATCTGGCTTTCGCCAACGAGGTACGCCCAGCGTGTCGCCGCCAAGCTGGCGACCTCGTAGGTCCTTTGACAGTCTCCGCCTCCGGGTCGGGCCCTGGGACCACCAACAGCACGACTCGATGATCCTCAGAACGCGTGTTAGCGCCAACGTGTGTTCGCCCCTCGAGGCCCTTCAATACGGCGCAGGCGATATAATGGTCTACTGGTGGGGCGGAACAAGATCAACACACATTGGGCTGACACACGTCCTGAGGATCATCGAACGACCCAGGACGACACACGTCCTGAGGATCATCGAACGACCCAGGACGAAAAGCCGGTGTGGCTCTGGACAAACCCACGCCGCGACGAAAATCGCGGCAGCGGGAGGCCTCGTCTGCGGCAGCGGCCCGCCTCGGAGTGCCAAGGTTCGGCCTCGACCCTCGAGGGTCGAGGCTGGAGGTTTTCTGGGCGCCATTGGCCCTTGCGAGGCCTGCGTGGTCGTCGTCCGCGGTCGTCGTCGTGATGGTCGCGGTCGGGGTCGTGGTCGTCGTCCAGAGGCCTCGGGGGGACCTCCTCTGCAGCAGCGGCCCGCCTTGGAAGGGCTCGATGTATACGGCTTATTCCTGTGGTGACGACCCCAGCGTAGGTTTCTCACACTGCGCGGATCGCTTGAACCGGAACCATCGGCGTCTCTTCGATCGCCAGACCGCTCCATGTTGGCCGATTCTGGGCCACTGGTGGCGTTCAACCGTGAACGCCACCGGCGGGATTGCCGCCGAGTCGACACGACGCGAACCTGGCGTACATCACGCCGTCTTGTCGGCCAATGAGCCAATGAACTCGGCGGAGGAGTTCGGTGTGCAGAGGCTGCAGCATCGCGACAAGTTAGGAGGCTGGTGACTCTAATCATATACACCGAACCTCTTGGTCGACCAGGCAGCTCGGTGTGCTTAGGTCATCTTGAAAACGCCCTGGGCGTTTTCTTGCGTTGTATACTTTGGGCTCATCGCAGGCTGCACAAAAACAACGCGAACAACTACTGCTAATACTTATCATCGTTTTTACACTCGTTGTTTGGCGCTTTCTGTTTCGTCGGAACATCTATAGATGGGGGCGTGGAGCGAAACTGGTATCCGTCCGCAGACCTGAGAACGGTAACACAACAAACACAACAAACGCTCTGACACCAGTCTGACACCGGTGCGAAACAGGTCTGGAAGCCCACGGCCCGTCCGCGGCGGGCTCCAACGATGGAAACCAACAGACCTGAAAACCATAAAATAACGAAGCGCTCTTTAGCGTGTTTAGTTGTCTTGTTGAGACATGAAAAATCCCAGGAATGATTTATCAGACGCCGTGCTGCAAACGCTAAAAACAAACAAGGCAGATTTAAGATGAACCAAGTTGGTGTGTGTATTTGTGTTTCCAGCCCCAGCATCATCGATGGTATTCTTTCCGCCGCCTATCGGATGACCGCTGCGCCTCGCCGGTGGCCCCTGGCGGCCGGCGCTGCCTCTTCCTTCGGCCGCTTGCACTGCCGCGCCCTACTCAGCTGCACACCGGGTCCCAGCGCCCGAGGCTGCCCACGCACTCCTCGTGGCGAAGATTCTCTACGCCTGAGGCCTCCCCTCTTGCTTTCAAGCCTGCCTCAGTGTGTGAAAATGTCCGGCGCGGCCCGTCGGCTATCCGACAAGGTTGGCGCCCGCCCTCGCTGCTGACGAAGCCTGGCGGCGCGCACACGTGTGTGGGGGGGGGAACGCTTCTCAGAAGGAGGCTGCTTCTTAGAAGGCGCCGGCCCTACATCCATAGATGAGGCCCGCGCCTTCTAAGAAGCAGGGGTGCTTCCACGAAGCCTTCCCCCCAACCCCCTGCGCATGGCCGACGTTCGGTCGTGTTTTGTTTACAGACAGCGACCCCCCAGAGGACTGGACCCCTTCCCCAGGACTGGCCTTTCATCCTGAACCTTTTTCGGACGGCCCCGAGGCCCGGCAAGGGCCCCCGGAGGCCGAAAACACAGCTCGTGTTTTTTTTCCCGGCGAAAAACCTCCCCCCACCCCTCTTAGCGCGTGGCTGACCACCGCCGCCGCCGCCCCTCGGGCGCCGCCGTGTGGGCCCGCCCGCGTGCGCGCCCTGGCTGCCTCCCGAGGCGGCGCGCGCGCGCGGGCGGGGGCCCGTGCGCTCTTGGAGGCACGCGCGCGCCCGCGGAGGCACGAGCCGCGCGGGGCGTGCGGGACTCTCCCTGGGAGGCGGGGGTCTAGCCACGTCCACCGCCTGGGAGCCGACGTCCTGGTGCCCCAGCGGGCGGTGGCCATGGATTTACATTTTGGCCACATCCACCGCCTGTGGAGATCCGCGGAGATCGATCCCCCAGGCGGTGGTTATGGATGAACCCCTGCCCCTGTCCCGAGCCTACGTGAATCGGCGGCGCGCCGAGGGGGGCATGTAGAGGCCTCCGGGGCAGGGCTCAGGCGGCGGGGCTGCTTAGAAGCCCTCCAGCCTTTTCAGAAGCCCTCCGTGGCTTCTGAAAAGGTCAGAGGCCTCCTACGCCTTCTGAGAAGGATCGCCCCCTCTCACTTCCTCCCTCGGCGCGCCGCCGACCAAAATCAACGGGTCCTGCGGGAAACGGGTCATGGACCCGGGGGCTTTCCCCCAGGATAATTCTCCATCCAGAATGATTCCCAACCGGCGTGTGGAGTTGGGCCCTCGTGCTGTAGAGTCAGCGTCCCGCGTTCCATCCTCCTCCTCCTCCTCCTCCTCCTCCTCCTCCGCCTCCTCCTCCTCCCACTGCCCCCTTCCCCTCCTCCCTCCTCCTATCCCTGCCTCTGCCATCCGGATGTCTGCGCTTCGGTTCACCCAGTGCAACGCTTCGTGGCCTCATAGGGAGCTCCACCGAAGGCCCCAGTGGCAGGGTCCACATGGCGGCGCCGCCCCATTTTGACGCAATCCCCACTGGGCTTGTGACCCTATAAGGAGCTCCACCGAAGGCCCCAAGTCCACATGGCGGCGCCGCCCAATTTTGGCGCACCACTCACACGGTTCATGGCCCCATGGGGGATCAGCCGAAGGCCCAAGTGTCAGGGTCCACATGGCAGCGCCGCCCCATTTTGGCGCACCCTTTCATACGGTGCTTGGCCCTATACGGAGCTTCGCCGAAAGACCCCAATGGCAGGGTCCACATGGAGGCACCGCCCCATGTTGGCGCATCCGTCACACGGTTTCGGGGCCCCGTAGGGAGATCAGCCGAAGGCCCCAGTGGCAGGGCCCACATGGCGGCGCCGCCCCATTTTGACGCACCATTCCACACGGTTCGTGGCCTCATAGGAGGCTCCACCGAACGCAGTGCCATAACACGGTACTCACAACTGCATATGGTTGGGTCCTTCGCCAGGATAACTTTCTGATGGTCCTGGGGCCCGTGGAAGCCCCAGGGAGCTCGAAAACGGAGAACAAAGAGAAGATCCGATGCCCTCCGGACCCGTCAACATCATTGTTCTAGGCTCGTCCTTCGCACATTTGTCGCTCAAACACCGTCGCGTCTCCTGCATATCCCGGCTGGGAAAGTCAGCTTCAGGACAATGCTTAGATACACATTTAAGTAAGATGTGCCTTTCGACACGGCTCAAAGGCTCTCAGCCTCTGCTCTGACGGCGAATACAAACCAGAGCATGTATGAACTTCGTTTGGCGGTGACGGTTTGCGGGGAAACAATACTTCATTGCGAGGCATGAGGGCCCATTTCCTCTGGCCCGAAGCCGAAGAACCGCGTCGCTGGCAAAGCGAGCGGCGAGCGGCTGAGACCGGGAACGCACCAAACCGCCCCTGGCCGCTCCTCGGCACTTCTGTTTTTCTTATTGTGGTTTTGTTTGTGTTGTTGTGCTCCTTTCTCTTCCGCCGCGAAGTCGCCTGAGGGTTCGCTCGATCGACCCGACTGCCGCTGCCCGGCGGCGGCGAGCTTTGGATCCCGTATTACTTTCTGGCGCCCCCCGCGGACCGAACGCGACCCTCTGGATGCGAAAACTGCTGGTAAACACCTCCGTCTAGGCCTTTCCTGGCAGAGAACGTGTGGAACGAGTATGAGGTATGAGGAATTCCAACCTTGGAATGCAGGTGGGTCAGACTTGCGAGACAGGCAAAGGCAGGACTGAAGCCAGGGCGCCCCATGTCGGTTCCCGCATGGTCCGCCTCGGATATCGCCGAGGCTCTCCGACGAGGTTCCGGACGAAGGGAGAAGAAGAGGAGCGAGAGAAGGGGTAGGCGAGAGCATGGAGTGGGCAGCAGGCACAGGGAGGAAGAGACAGACGGAGCACGAGGCAACACAAGGAGGGGAGCCTCCTAAAGCGTGCCGGGCCGCTCCCGCGAGTCTCCTGGGGGGGGGGCCCTTTGGAGGCCCGTGTGCTGTGTCGAGGGGCTCTCTGAGGGTTCCTCTCGTTTCGCGGGGCGCCCTGGCGTCGGGTAGGTCTCTGCGTCTCTGTGGGGCGAGCCTGGAAAGCTTGTGGCGTCTTCCTTGGGGCTTCGGGGGGCCTCAAAGGGGGAGGTCTCGGGGCATCTCCGGGGGCGTCCTGGGCCATCTCAGAGCGGCCATGGGTGGTTTGGCGCCTTGGGAGGCCGTCTGGGAAGCCTCTCTGTGCTGTCATGGTGGGGCTCTCGGAGGCAGTCTTGTTGCCCTCTTGGGCCGCCTCTGGAGCGGCCCTGGGCCCTGACCTGGGGCGTCGCGGGGCCCTCTTGGGCGGCCGGGAGCGGAGGCAGAAGAAAAGGATCGCGCGAGAACCACTGGGGGAGTGGAAGGACAGAGGTGGGAAGAAGCGCGAGCGAGGCGGAAGGGTCGGCGGGAACTCACGGGAGCCTCCCGTGCCAACTTTCTGGCCCTTGCGAATCGGCGCTGGCCGACGCGGATCGACGCAAAATCGGCGCTCTTGCATCGATTGCCATCAGCTGGCGTACGCTAGCGCACCCTAAAGACGGAGTCCCAAGGGGATGCGAGGCTCCCATGATTTGCTACCGAAGGAAGGGGTGGGAGGAGGCCGGGAGGAAAAGAACAAGGAAGCCTCTCACGGCGATCCTGGCCGCTCGAGGGAGCACATGCCAGCCTTTCTGAGGCGCGTCTGGTCCCCTCTTCTTTTCGTGCGCTGCATGCAGCTGGGCGCCGTGGAGCCAAAGCGCGCTTCACTGCCCGCGGCAATGTGTGTGTGAGTGTGTGAATGCGTATGTGTGCAAGCACATGCTGTACAAAAAACGCACCGCAAACATTCTGGCAGTATCCAGCCGCCGAAGGCCGAACTCCGAAGTTGGAAGACCGATGCTCCACCCCTTAAAATTAAACGGCATTTACAAACATGTTGGGTCATGCTTGAGCTTGCCTGACCATGTTAGCACGCAACTCTGAAACACTCGTGCTACGGCGACATGGAACGGTCGGCCCTGCTGGGACGGACACAACAATAGAGAAGCACAAGCCGACGTCGACGAGGGCGGGATGGATGCTTGAAGCCCAAGTCCGAGAGACGACATGGCGGACTGGGCCGAGCAAGGACCTGCTGCCCAGCACGAGCGCTCGCCCCTGCAGATAGCGGCGATGTGCATCACACGCATCACCGTGATATACCGCATGTGGGGTACATGGATTGTTCTGTACAGCTAGCACGTCCGCTCGACGAAGCCACATTGCTCGAATGGCGAAGGGCGATGCCGCTGCCTGCGAGAAACAGATCTCGGCTAACCCAGTGGAAACACTGTGTGGTAAAGTGTGTGCCAAGCCTCCTTGATCTGCTCCCTCTGACAGACTTGCTACAGCTAAGACAGCACACGCTGCAGATATCCTGGCAGACTCGCTGGCTGCGGCATATGCAGCGCATCGGAAGAGGGAAGACCCGATGGGGATACGCGCGAGCCCTCCTCGGGAGGGGCACGCGTACAGAGCCTGCGCAGCACCGAGAGAGCGACGTGCTCCCGACTGAGGCAACCAGGAATACCTGTGTGCGATTTGGCCTCCACGAGTGCATGCCCGTGTCCCGTGTGCTGCAGGTGGGGTGCACGCGCGTCCTCCCATCAGAGGAGCGCGGGCACAAAGTCTGCGCTGAAACTAAAAATCACAACCAAAAAGAGTCAAAACGACACTGCATTCAGCGATGGTCCTCTGCAAGACCATCACAAGCTGTCACATGCGGAGAATATTCGGAGCTGGTTGGGGAACGGGCCAACTTCTCAGCAGACGGTCCAGACTGGAAAACAACGAACCGAGTCATGAGTTTGGATTAAGAGCTTGCACAAACAGGTCCGATTCTAGATTCGCCCGACAACCTAGACAAGCAACAACGACACCGAAAGTCAACGCTGGCTCATGGGGGCGGCGAGTGCAGCTACAAGTCGCTCAGGAAACAAGGGGAACGATAGGGGGGGGACCGTCTCAGGGGGAAACACGGATCTGGAATCGACGATACATCGCCGATAGATCGGCGACAGGCTCCTGATAGCGAGTCCGCACGTTCCTGGGCGGGGTGGGCTATCGGGCCCCTGTTGGCGATCATTGGACGATTGGGTATCAATGCGTACCCCCCTAATTATGCTCGGCGGCAAGCCCGGGGGGGAAGTGAGAAGGAGAAGGCCGGCCTTCTCGGAAGGCTTGGAAGTCCCCAGGCTATTCGAGAAGTCTCCTGTGCCTTCCCCGAGGGCACCGAAAACCTCTCAGAAGGCCCCAGGGCTTCTCAGAAGCCCCGCCGCCTGCTGAGGAGGCCTCCTCCTTCTCACTTCCCAACCTCGCTCGCAGCCGGCTATATGCCTACAGTCGGCCCGTCTCATAAGGATGCGCGAGAAGGTTGCAAGGGCCTTGGACGCCCATGTCGAAGCTTCTCGGGAGGGGCGCGGCCAACGAAAGTGGCGAAGCATGGACCGAGGAGGCAAGGATGCAAGGGTACCCTTGGGAAGGTTGCCCATCCTTCCTATGTGGGTTGACTGTGTCTCCCCCTACCTGAGCATCGTTTAACAGATCCCCATCCCCACCAGCGGGGGCTGGGCCCCATTGGCCGATTTTCCCCCTTGGATGGGGATATAGGCTGCTCTCTTCGGGTTTCGAGGGGCGTATCCCCAACCCAGGTGGTGAGGCAGTGGGGCTCGAGATGTGGATGGGGATGGGGATGGGGATCGGTCAAACGATACTGACTTCCGCTGCCCCTGGATGCTGCCTGCTGCAGCGCCGCGGCTGGCGGGCCGCGCGTGCCGTTCGCGCTGCCCCCTCCGGCCGGCGCATTGTCCCCGGCGAGGGGGCGCCGCACCTCTGGGGTGGCGACGCCCCCCGGGGGGGGCCGTGGGCCGCACGGGCAGCGTCGGAGCCCCTCGTCGGCGCCTCGTGCGGCAGTCCCGTGCGAGCGACGTTCAGAAACGGGTCTTACGCGAGGTGGCACAGCGACCTGAAGCCGCAGCTTACGCGGGCCACCAGCGCGGCAGGCCACATTGAGGCCGAGGGCGCTTACGCGCGAGCTTGCGCGGGCAGCTGACGCGCCAATGTCGGCGCAGAGTTTGTGTCGCTCATGTGTTCGGGCCGCCCTGGCAGCCCACGGCCTCGAAGAGAAGCCCTGCTCCATCACGAAGAGGGCGACGTCAGGCGTCTGCCGCTCGGTCATCCTTTGCGGAGCTCCATGGCGCTGCAGATGCCCGCAAAGTCCGTGTCGATCATCCATCGCAACAGCCTCAAGAACGTAGCGAACTGGATCGTCCCCTCGTCCGCCTCGCCCCGGCTACTGGTCTGAGCCAAGATCGGCTTCAAGTCCTGCATCTTGCTGCTAGAGACATGGAGCCCGATCGACTTCAGGAAGAGTGCCATGGCCGAAACTGGTATTGCAGGCACAACTGTGAGACGCGTCAGGAGCTTGTCCACACGATGCCCCTTGCTGCCCGCCAGCTGCTCGCAGGTCAATGACTTCCCTGCCTCCCGCTCGGCGAGGTCGGAGAACACGCGGCGGAACTCGGCGGCCTCGCTGTTCGGGAAGCTGGCGAAAGACACCGCCCCCTTCTCGCGATCGATGACCTCCTGCTCCGAGTCCCGCACGAAACCGCGGATCAGATGCACGAACGTGTAGAAACCGATGGAGGATACCCTTCCGTGCGACGCTTCGCCCTGCTGCGCCGCTACTGCCCTGACGGACGCCTCCTCCTCCGGCACCCCGGCCTCGATGGCGGCCTCCCGTGCGGCCTGCAAGCGACGGAGCAGCTCTTCCCGGCCCTGCCTCGTGTTCACGGGCACCTCCTGCGAGCCGGTAAACATCCAAATGAGCTCGTTGACGGTGGCGAACTCTCTTGAAATCTCGCCGCAACCGCCATTCCAGAGGCTCGCGATCTCCGCCACAGTGTCCTCTGCAAATCCCCCGCGCTTCCGGAACTCAAGGTTCAGGCGGAAGCGGCAGCGGTCGTAGACGTGCATGAACGAGGTAAAGCTCGCCTCTGCTGGCATGTCTCGCATTAGCTCGGCGAGCACGTCATCCTGTGGGAAGAGCTGCTGCTTGGCAAGAGCGTCCTTCACAGACCCCTTGGGCATCCGGCCAGTGGAGCTGCTCAGCTCGTCGAAGGACTTGCGAGCGCACCGGATGCTCTCCTCGCGCATCAGCCTCATCAACCTCAAGAACTCGTGGAGGTCCATGGAGCCGTTCTTGTTGAAGTCGACCCGCTTGATCAAAGGACTCACCTCGTCGGCCCTCATGGTGTGCCCGAGGTGCCGGAGCAACTCGAGGACCTGCAGGTGGGTCAGCTCACCCGTGCCGTGATGATTGAACTTCTGGAACGCGGCGCTGAACACCTCCTGCTCGGAGCGGGTGAAGCCGTGCGCCGACCGGGCCGCACCCACGAACTGCACCAGCGCGTCGAAGTCCAGAGCGGCTTCGCGCTGCAGGCCGAGGCTCGAGAGAAGCTCGTCTACAGCGTCTGACAGCAAGGAAATGCCGAATCGTTCTGAGATGAGGATGGCCGTGTCCAATTGGATTCGACCCGAGCCGCTGGTATCGAAGTCTTCGAAGCACTTCCACAGATCCTGCATCATGAGGTCGCGCAGCCGGCGCGCCCAAATCAGAAACTCGTAGAAGCAGATGCCGTGCTGCTCCGCGGAATCGGAGGGCAAGATGTGCGCCAACATGTCGATGTAGTCCACGCTGTAGAGGCCAGTGAACTTGAGCAAGCCTTCCATAAGCTTGGAGGCCTTGGCAGCCTTGGCCGTGGCGCTCCATCGGCTGGAAGACATGCGCGGATCTTGCTCCAGCCCGCCGAAGACCCCAGCCGCGGCCGCTACCTGCTCCTTGGTGAACCCCTCGTCAACCCTGCAGGCGGCCAGGGTCAACAAGAGGTCGTTGGTGCTCATGTCCTGCTCGGACGCTCGACTTATCCGGGATAGCTGCGGTCTGGGGTAACTCCGGGTTGGGCCCCCGATGCGCGAATATGTAGCTACCCCGGACTGCCCCCAACCCTGATGACTCGGGATGGTTGAACGCCTGCCCTCTCTGGGATAACTGCGGTCCACGGTAACTCTGGCTTGGGCCCCCGAGGCGCGAATATGTGCAGTCACCCCTGACCGCTCCCAGCCCTGATGATTCGGGGGTCGGGTCCTGCGGCCTCACGTGATCCAGCAGCGCTGCCTTCTGCATCTTCTCCACGTGGCTGTAGGGGAAGCACACGCCGGCGGAGCGTAGAAACTGCTGCAGCAAGTCGCGCGCCGCCGCGCCGTCTGCGCGCTCTGGGCGCTCCGCCAGGCACGCGCCCGCGCGCTGACGGACAGCGCTACGCTCGAGGGCGGCGAACCTGTTCACGTACCCGAGGAAGTCCATGTAGTCGAAGTTCTGGAAGTTGGAGAGCTGCGTGGCCAGGCAGAGGGAGCGCTGCCGCGTGCTGGTCAAAAAGCCCATGTGGATGAGGGCGTCGTGCAAGAGCTCGCGCGTGACCTCGTTGGCCCCGTGGACCGAGAAGCGCCTGAAGGCCAAGGCAATGAACCTGTCGTGCACCTCCACCTCCTCGTCCGCGTAGCCGGCGTAGACCTCGAGCAGCGTGGCCGCAAGAGGCACCTGCAGCTCCGCGTCTTCGGACACCTGGGAGCCCTCGCTCTCGGACGCGTTCGGGCTGGGCGCGCACGTCGAGGGGGCCTCCCGCACAGCGCTGCACTCGCGGTCGAGGCCGAAGCCGAACCTCGCCTCCTGGCGCTTCGGCTTCGGTTGGGGTTCCGCAGGCGGCACTGGGCACGCCGAGCCTCGGGAGGCGCGGCTCCTGGGAGGGCCGATGAAGCCCGCGATGGCATGCGTGGCCCAGTCCCTGCACTCCGCGCCGGGCTCCCGCAGCGACATCAGCTCCTTCGGCCAGGAACTCCGCTGCTTCGCACCCTGCTGCAGGTCGGCCGACCCCTGGCACTGCAGCCGCGCGGCTTGCAGCTCAGGCAGGGGACCCCCCGCTGGGAGGACGCCGAAGCTGCGGCTCCTGCAGGCGTCCGAGAGGCTCCTCAGAGTCTGGGCCGCGGCTGCCGCGCGGCTGTCGCGCGGGAGGCTCCAGCGGAGCGGCGGGGATGTGGGCCCCGCCGCCGTGCCGAGGTCGGGCGTGGAGCTCCGCCAGGAGGCCGCGACGGGCTCCGGCGCCCCGGCGCAGGGGATCCTCGGGAACAGGCCCGACGTGGAGGCCCTCCTCGCCCCGAGCGCGTCGCGGCGGCCTCCGCCTCCGCCGGCTGAGAGCTGCGACAGGCTCCTGGAGGACGCCCCGAGCCTCCTGCACGAGGCCAGCGGCCACGATGCGCTCGCGACCTGGGTCGGACTCTGAGACGCCGCGGGCGCACATGACCGCGCGGCCTTCGCGGCATCCTCGGCGCTCCGCCTCGGCACCGAGCTCGATGCGGCCCTGCAGGCACTCCTGGCCCGGAGCTCCCCGACAAGCTGGTCGTGGCTGCGGGGGCGGAGGGGGTCTGGGTCTCCCCCGTCTCCCGGCCACGCGCAGAGGGGGGCAGAGGGAGGGGGGAAGGCTTCTCTCGGGCGTGAGCACAAAGGTGGAGTTAGGGGCAAAGATGGGGCTGGAAGGAAAACCGCTCCGAACGGCCCCTGGAAGAAGGAAACGCGTTCAACGGGAGCATCTGGCTGGGCCCGTTCCCCAGCCCCAACTTGGGATAACCCTCCATCTACGAACCCCCGATTCTTAGAAGCACCCTGCTTCTTAGAAGGCGCGGGCCTTGTCTGTTGATGTAAGGCCGGCGCCTTCCACGAAGCAGCCGCCCTCTAATAGAGGCCTCCTCAGATGGGGTCCGAGTAGATGGGGTCGGAGGATCTCGCCGCATCGCCGATACATCGGCGAAGCATCGCCGATGTATCGGCGATGCATCGGCCATGCACTTGAGACGTCGCCGATACATCAGCGACATCGGCGTGGAGAAAATCGTGCCCCACATCAAGCCGCATCGCTGATGCATCGCCGATAAATCGGCGATGCAACGGCGATGCGGCGCGATCCTCCGACCCCATCTACTCCGACCCCATCTATGGGCAAGCGCGTTCCACTACTCGCACAGTAAGTACTCGCAAATGGCCTGGATGCGCCGCGGGGCATTTAATATACGTTACATGGGGGAAAACATGTTTGTTTTGACGTTTGCGACCAGGCCCTTTGCGAGTAGTGGAACGCGCTCGGTGAATGTAGGAGGCCTAGGTTTCGGTCGGGCATGTCCCCGACAGGAGGATTTTGGAGGACCAATAAAACCTAGTCAGCAAATGGTCAAAAATTGACAAAAAGAGTGGAGACATCGTCCCCAGACTATTTTTACAGCGTTTGAATATTCCTCCTGTAGGGGGGCATGCCCGACTTAGGTAGGTCTAGATCTAAGACGCCTTCCCCCCTCCTGAGCATCGTTTAACCGATCCCCATTCCCACCAGCGTGGGCTGGGCCCCACTCTCCGATTTACCCTTCTGATGGGGATATAGGCTGCTCTTTTGGAACTTCGAGGGGCATGTCCCCAACTGGGGTGGTGAGACGGTGCTGGCTCGAGGTGTGGATGGGGATGGGGCTCGGGGCACCGGCTGAACAGCTGCGGACCTGCCCCCCCCCTGCCCCCGTGTGCGCGCCGCCAGGCCTCCGCCGCGCGGGGGCTGCTGCACGCTCCCGGAGGCCGCCGGGAGCGCGGCCCGCGACCACGGGGCGCACAGAGCGAGCGGGCCGTGCGGCGGCGCGGCCCCACCTCGCTCCTCGCTCCTCCTCGCTCCTCCTCGCTCCTCCTCCTCCTCCTCCTCGCTCCTCCTCCTCCTCCTCCTCCTCCTCCTCCTCCTCCTCGCTCCTCCTATCCTACATCCTCCTCGCTCTCCTCCTCCTCGCTTCCTCCTCCTCCTCCTCTCCTCCTCCTCCTCCTCCTCCTCCTCCTCCTCCCTCCTCCTCCTCCTCCTCCTCCTCCTCTCCTCCTCTCCCTCCTCCTCCTCCTCCTCCTCCTCCTCCTCCTCCTCCTCCTCCTCCTCCTCCTCCTCCTCCTCCTCCTCCTCCTCGCTCCTCCTCGCTCCTCCTCGCTCCTCCTCGCTCCTCCTCGCTCCTCCTCCTCGCTCCTCCTTCTCCTCCTCCTCTTCCTCCTCCTCCTCCTTCTTCTCCTCCTCCGAGGTGACGTAGCGACCTTACGCGAGGTGACGTAGCGACCTTACGCCGCGGCTTCCGCGGGCGAGATGGCGTGGCGACCTTACGCGAACAAACTAATGGTCTTCTTACGCGAGATGGCGTGGCGACCTGACGCGGCGGCTTGCGCGGGCCGCCAGCGCGGCACGCCACACTGGAGGCGAGGGCGCTGACGCGCGAGCTTACGTGGGCAGCTTACGCGCCAGTGTCGGCGCAGACGAACCCGTCTTTTGGCGTCGCACACCTGACCGCAGGGTCATCGTGGCAGCCGGATGCACCCCAGCTCCTCTAGCTGAGGCCTCTTCGCGCCACGCGCAGGATCAGCGGCGAGCGAGGGGGGGAAGTGAGAAGGAGAAGGCCTTCTCAGAAGGCGGCGGGGCTCCTCACAAGCACCCCGGCCCTGCGAAAAGCCTTCTGCGTCTCCGGGGAAGGCTTCGGAGACTTCCCAGAAGGCCGAGGGGACTGCGGAGCCTTCTGAAAAGGAACGCCTCTTCTCCATGCCCCCCCCTGGGCTAGCAGCCGACCAGAAGAACGGTGCTGGGTGCGACAGATAAGCAAACTACAGCCTCCCGTGAGGCAAAAAGGATTGAGCCAATAGGGCTGCGGATATGATATTGTCGTGTCTTGTTGGGAGGGGTCGTCTCGCATCGCTGAGGTCTTGGCCCGATGGCTCGAAGTACGGCTGTCGTGGGGCCCATCTGGGACGTGGGCCGTTGTCAGGCGATGCGAAGCAGAAGAAAGCAAGGAGGAGGATGCAACCGGGGCGCCCCATGTTGATGGCCGTGGAATCCGTTTCCCAGTGCAGGCCGTGTCGGAGCCCTCTGAGGAGCTTCAGGGAGGAGGGAAAGAAGAGGATCGAGGATCGAGGAGCGAGAGGATCGAAGAGCGGAGAAGCAACAGACTGGGTCGAGGATCAAGGACCGAGGATCGAGAAGAGAACCCGGAGGCGAGAGGATCGAGGAGCGGAGAAGCAATAGAGATGAGGAAGGAGCAAAAGGGCGGCGGGCAGGAGAGGAGGGGGGGAGTCTCGTAGAGCGTCTGGGGCCACTCCCTGGGCGTTGTGGAGGAGCCTGGAGGCGTCCAGAGGGCCTCAGGGGCCTCTCGGAGATCCCCCGGGAGCCTCTGGGAAAGCGGATTGGACCGAGATTGGGCGCTCTTGGGCCGGCTGGCGCCGTCGGAGGCCGTCTCGGGGCCGCCTCTAGGCCGTCTTTGGAGTCCCCTGGAGGCCCTTGACTGAGACGGTCTAGGGGGGTTATTCGGCCGTCTTTCGAGTGGGATGTCGACTATATTTGATGTACTCCAAACTTGAAGATTCGCGTTGAATTAAACATATATAAATATAATAAACTTCGTAAGTCTACGAACATTCTATGTAGGATAAAACAACAAATGCTGGGGATCATGAATTCTGTACTCGATCTGGAGGGCCTGGCCGCCCTGTAGTGCCTTCTTGGAGGCTTGCAGCGCCGTCCTGGTGCCGTCTCGGAGGCAGCTTGGATGCCTCCAGGGCAGTCGCGGGCAGTCGGCAGCTCGAAAACGCAAGGACTCCCAAAGCCATTTATAGGCGGAGCGCCTGGGGGTATGTGAAAAGGGCCAGGCCTTCTCAGAAGGCTCGGAAGTTCCCCGGACTTCTGAGAAGTTGTCTGTGCCTTCCCCGGAGGCACAGAAAACTTGTCAGAAGGCGCAAGGGCTTCTGAGAAGTCCCGCCGCCTTCCGAGAAGGCCTTCTCCTTCTCACTTCCCCCCCTCGCCCGCCGCCGAATTTAAAGACAAAGAGAAATCTATGATTTTGATATCTGGAGGCTCTCCAGGAGGGAGCTTCCTAGGGGCAGGCCACGAAACGCGCGATCGGCGTGCCGAAATGGGTTGGGGGAGTAGCATGTGGTCACAGCCACGGGGGCCTTCGGTGGAGATCCCTTTGGGGCCACGAAACGCTGTACTGGGAGGCGCGGACGCCTGTGGTCACAGCCACGGGGGCCTTCGGTGGAGCTCCCTATGGGGCCACGAAGCGCTGTACTGGGTGGCGCGGACGCCTGTGGTCACAGCCACGGGGGCCTTCGGTGCAGCTACATATGGGGCCACGATGCGCTGTACTGGGGTAGCGCGGACGCCTGTGGTCACAGCCACGGGGGCCGTCGGTGCAGCTACATATGGGGCCACGAAGCGCTGTATTGGGTGGCGCGGACACATGTGGTCGCGTCCATTGGGGCCTTCGGTGGAGCTCCCTGTGGCCACGAAGCGCTGTACTGGGTTGCGCGGACGCATGGCCACTGGTCACAGCCACTGGGGCCGCTGGGCCAGCGTGTCTCGGAGGCCGCGCTGATGCACGGGCACTTCAGTGCGAGTCGGTGACTCGGGCGGGCACGGTATCATGCCGACGTCGACAACGGCAGACGCGATGATGATAGTAGCGATGCTGGTGACGACGATGGCGATGACGACGGCAAGGCCAACGACGGCACCGATGCTGATCACGCCGATGGCGATGATGGTGTCCACGTGTCGGTGATGAAGGTTTTGCTTAAAGAAGATTTCGATCTGCGCGCACGGCTGACGCGCGAGAGTGGCCCGCATGGAATTATTTGACACGGATCATGCCCCCCCATCGCCCGCGCAATGGCGTTATAATGATTTCGACATGCGCGCGCAAGAGGCCCGCTTAGTTGAATTTGATGAACATGTTGCAAAACCCATGGCTTCTGAAGAACTCGCAGAAACACGCGCAGACTTGTGTTGATAATGCATGTTGACAAACCACTGGTGTTGTATGAGTTTGTTGGTCACTAGATCTTGATATCCTTAGGAAACATCAGGTGTTTGACGGATTTCGGCAAGCGCTTGCGAGAACACGCGCGTGTAGACTGCGTCACATATGTTGCACAATATTTTGAACAACTTGATAAACGAATTGGCGCGCATAGTATTTGATCACGAAGATGAAAGGGGGGCTCGAACCTGGTCTGGCTCGAATGGTACGGCTTCGTGCATATAGAAAGAATAGGGTGGATCGATAAGCCCAGGAAGGGGAGGGTGGTAGATCTTTCTTCATCTCAGAAGGAGAAAATCTGCCTGGTGCGCTCTATGTTGTACGATCTATGTGGATCGATATATGATGTGCGATCTACGTGGTGCAATCCATGCTGTGCGATCAATGTGGTGCATGTATGCGAGGTCGCGACGAAGCGGCGACAAGGCGGCGACGACAACAGCACAGCCGCCAGACCGCCACCCCGGCCCAGACGACCGGCGGCGACGAGGCGGCGACGGCGACGGCGACAACATGGCCGCCCGACCGCCACACAAGCCCAGACGAGGGGCGGCAACGAGGCGGCGACGATGCGGCGACGGCGACAACATAGCCGCCAGACCGCCACACCTGCCCAGTTCCGTAAGGGAAGAGTGCGAACCCCTGAGTGCAAGCACTGCTTGGGAATGTATACACGCACATACACGCATGCATGCGTACAGACAGACATACAGACATACATAAAGATGCGCGGGCACAATCTCTCCACGCCGGCGCTGTTCCACGGGCGAACGTGGTGAACAGGAGGGTTTGGGGCTCCTGCGGGGCCCCACATCTGGCCGAAGCCTGCGCATTCCCCCGAAACGCTGACTGCAGCATCTTTAACTTGATTTCAATCGGCCGACCTTTCGGCCAGCGCCCATACAGTACGGGCCCATCCACAAGAAACCTTCCACAAGAAACCCAACCCTGAGACCCCGGGACGTCCACTGATTCTTGGTGTGGGAACGGCACGCTTTCCATAGCAAAACCATCGAAACCCAAGAAACCGAGGGCACCCTGGAGGCGAGCAGGGTGTTTCTTGGCATGGGTCTCCACTGTACAGCAATCAACAACAAAAAACGCCCCGACGACATCCGAAAGAGCCATTGGCCGGCCCTCCGCCTGGCCGGAGCCGAGCTCCTCCAGGCCGGGCCCGAGGGGGTTCGCCAGCGCGTCCGCCAGCTGGGTGCCCGCCAAGGCCTCCCAGGATTCCAGCCTGGACGCCGCCCGGCGTTCGCAGGCGGGCAGCCAGCGCGGGACCGAGGGTCGGCGGCGAGCCCGGGGGTTGAAGCGAGAGACGGGGCGGGCCTCCTCAGAAGGCTCGGAAGTCCCCCGGTCTTCTGAGGTGCGTTCTAAGCCTCACCCGAAGGCACGGAGAACTTGAAGTCCCGCCGCACTCTGAGAAGGCCTTCTGCTTCTCACTTCCCCCTGGGCGCACCACCGAATTTGGTTTTTGGGTCATAGCTTGGGTCTCCGGCGGCCGTTCGGGGCGATCTGGGCACCCCCGGAAAGCTCTCGGCGAGGCGCAGCCGCTAGAACGCATCCCGAGGGTGGAAAACCGCTGAAAACCGACGAAAACGCCTGAAAACCTCTGACCTCGAACCCGAAACTTCCTCCCATCGCCCGCCGCCGATGCTTCTCACTTCCCCCAGTTCGCTCGCCGCCAGGGAGCTGGACCACCTCGCGTCGCGGAACAAATGTCGCAACGTAACGGTTTTGGCGCGCGCTTTTGGCCGCAGCGGGCCCTCGCCCAGCTGCCAGGGGGCCGTCAAAGGGACGGCTCGGGACGAGGCGTCGGTCCCCAGTATAGGGGTCGAGACCTCAAGGTGGCGACGCGGTGCAGAAGAAGTCGTGGCGTGTAGGTCTGAGGAAAGGGGGTCCCTGAGATCCTGGCGACGTTATTTTTTCAAGCCGGGCGTTTTCGCCCAGTTTCGGGCCATGGGACCCTCACGTATGGATCCGGCTCGAAAAGTGGCGCAGACAGATGGGGTCCAGGGCTTCAGTTATGACTTCTCACGATGTCGCAATTCTTTCGAGACGTCGGATCTCAGGAAAGGGAGGGGAACTGAACGATGGATTCTGAAAGAGCGCCTCCGGCGGCGCGAGATGACCACAAGGGAGGTATGGGGGGTTGGGCAGCAGGGGGCAAGAGATGAGGGAGCGGGGGGCGGGGGGCCGGGGGGGGAGGGAGGAGGGGGAGAAGGGAGGAGGGAGGGAGAGGGGACGATGGAGGCAGCAGGAGCAGGAGGAGGAATCGGCCGAGGGGCAAGAAAGAAGGGGGAGGGACGAGGGACGTGGGGGAAATAAGAGGGAGCGGGGCAGGAAGTCGCGCGAGGTAGAAAGCAAGAGGGAGGATATATGAGGTAGGAGGCCTAAATAATATGGAGGAGGTGGAGGAGCAATGAGGAGGGATGGAGAGGGAAGATATAGGAAGGAAGGAGGGAGGAAACAAGATAACGATGGACTGAGCAGGGGTTCGACAACGTGTCCTGGCCTTTAACATCTTTGTCACATCGTGTTCGCAGAGATGCTGCAAAACCGTTGTCTGTGCTGCTTTGGAACACCTGGCGCAATCCGTTTTGCAGTTTCACTTGCATTATTGGGGTGATCACAGAAGCGCGGGAAATCTGAGCACACATGCGCGCCAATGAGCAACTGCAGCATGGATACACCCCCAGGAGCAATCCGAGCTCACCAGCGCGCAGAAGAGCCATGTGTGGATGTGACCCGCAGGAGTGAACGATCTGAGCAGGGGAGAGCGAGACGGCGGCGCAATCCGAACGCAAGACCGCCTCAAGGCGCGTGGGAACCAGCATCGGCAGTCCGATCACACGGGCGCCTTAATAAGCCCACTAAACCCCTGCTCTGGAGAGACACGCGGCTCTGGCTCACGCCAGGTCCATGAACATCTCCGCCGCCGCCGTTGACGAGAGATGCATACCTTCACACACAACAGGGCCCTTACGGCCCTTAAGACGGAACCATGCTACATAAGCATCTATGAAACACGGTGGTCAAATTATCCGCCACCGTTCCCGAGAGGCACGTGTTGGAGTGTCCTCAGGTTCTCAGGCAGTTGCCAAATCTTCTGGGGCTTGCCGCGTGTTGTCGCGCAACTTGTTCGACCCCAAGAGGGCGTCAAGTCAGGCCATGAGGGCCTCAATAGCCCCCCAAGACGGTCCAAGAGAGCCCCGAGTCTCAGAAAGATCGCTCCAAGACGCCCCCAGAGGCCTCCAAGAGGCCTTCCAACAGGGATCCCAGAGGCAAAATCATTGATGTTGCTTAGGTGTTTGAAAGCTTTCTCGCCTTTTCGCATCAAGACGGCCCCAAGAGAAGGCACAAACAGGGGACCCGAACAGATCTTTCGAGCGCTTGACCCGGCCCCAAGGGGCCCCCAAGAGGCCTCCAAGAGGCCCGAACGAGGCCCCCAAGAGGCCCCAAAACTGTTCCCAAGAGGTCCCAAAACTATCCTCCAAGAGGCCCCCGAGAGCGATCCGAAGAGACCTCGAGAAACATCCCTGGGGACTCTGACCCACAATCCAGGCACGGTGGCGGGATGGGCCAAAGGCCATTCGATAGAAGATCGAAACCTGTGTGAACATCAACTCCCGGAGGTCCGCACAGACCTTTGTTCTTCGACCGAATGGGCCCAGCAGGACCGATCACGAAAACCAATGGCCCCATGCGGACCCACCAGCCCAGCAGGACCTGCCAACACACAGACAAGCAAAAGCGTGACGAGCCCGCGCGCCTGCGGGACGCCGAGTGCGTGCTGCCCTCGAGCAGGTTACCCGCGACGTGCCGCAGCTCGTGCACCTCGCGCCGCACCTCGCCGCCGACCGCGCGCGCGGCCGCCCCACACGCACCCCACCGCAGCTCCAGCCGCCGCTGCCGGAGGCTTGGTTGCGCAGGCTGCACACCCTTCCTGTCATGGCAAGACGAAGCCAAGATCGGGACAACATCAGACCGGGACAAATTGGGGATCTCTGAGATCCGGCGGCTCTGGATGACGTATCGGGAGCCACGGCCGTTCCGGAGCGCACCAGGACGCGCTGAGAGCGTTCCAGACCGCTCTGCAATGAATCATCCTGATCCTAGTCCTGCCCAGTACGGAGCGAAGGGATGCGGAGTGCTACGACCAGGAACTTGTGCCTAGTGTGTCGCTACGGCGGCTCCAGCGACACGCCATGCCCTGCGCATTGACAGCGTCTCTCTCCGCTCCGCGGTGGCGGGAGATTGGGAGACGCGACACGCTAAGCAAATGCTCCCAACCGCAATCCGACGATAGTAGGCACATACGATAGGAACTCTTGCTATAAGAAACCTGCGGGCACATCGTTCGTCGACTCTGAACTTCGTGCAATAGAGGCTCGACCACAAGAAAGCTTTCAGAAGAGACCCAGGACGTCAAATGATTTCTGGCGTGGGAACGTCGCGCTTTCCACAGCAAAGCCCTCGAAACCCAACAAACCCAGGGCACCCTGGAGGCAAGCAGGGTGCTTCTTGGCGTGGGTCTCCACTGCAGGCACGTGCGGTGAGAAGTCCTGCCATGAGAAACCTGAGGGCACACCTTCCAGACACTCCGAGCTTCGTATGGTTCCCCGGGGCTCCGCGGGGCCAGCGGATCAGAAATCGACGCGGGGCAACCGTTGGCGGCTAAGCTTCTTACAACGACAACGATAACTCCGACGACGCTCACAAGGCTCACAAGGATCACAAGGATCAACACTGACAACGGTCACAACGATCGACAACGAACGTTATCGCTGTTAGCGTTGTCGCTGTATTTCGTGAGCCCACTGCAGGACGAGCGGCGAAGGCACCCAGCGGAGCGGGAGGAAGGCAGCGGCAGCGGAGACAAACTGCTCACACGAGGGAGCACACAATGGCTAGACCCAATACTGGTGTACAGTGAGACATGTGCTGCTAGCACGGCCCCCTGTGGGGCCTCTGAGGCAAACGGCTGCGGAGGTGGGGAAGCGTAGCTGCAAACCCGTCTCTCCTGCCTGTGCTAAACTGTGTACACAACTATCTCATCAGAGATGGAGTCCCGACCGATCTTGACGTGATGCTCGAATGTATCGCTCGATGCTCAGAGACTCGGGGGGTGTGGGGGGGGGCACGTCCTGCCCCCCACACGCGTTGATTACACGGAATATCACACTTTTTTGGCTGCGAAATCGAACGCAATTTGGTCTTGCGACTTGGCGGCGCCCCGTGCCCCCCCCCCCCCATAACAAAGAAAACAAAACAATGCTCGCGCTGGCACACGCGCGGCTTCGGTCGTTTTCCTTCGGAGCCCGCGCGCCGCTTGCTGCGCGCGCCGAGGAGCCTTGAAACTCTCTGGAAAAAAAGTCGGGGAAGGGGGCCGACCGCGACGCGTCACATCAATATTACACTGCACACCAGCCTGCCGGGCCCAACACAACAAATCTGGACGCGCATAGCCAGGCAACTGCATGTGCCGCTTCCTCGAACAAAACGTTTCAATTACCCTCCTGGTGCAACTGCTCCTGTACCGATTCCGCTGCACCTTGAAACACTGGCGGGCTCGAGGGGTTGGTGCAACCTTGCGCCTGGTTTCGCGGAAGGCTGTAGGATCCGAGACTGACGCTGGCTGCACGGCCCGCGCGGCCGTGCGCGGCTGCTTCCCGCCGCGGAACGCCGCCGCTCCTCCTTCCGTGAAGGCCTGCCCCTGTTGCTGCGCTGGCTGGAAGGGGAGGAGGAGGGGGAGGAGGAGAGTGAGGCAGAGGATGAAGAATTAATGGGGGGGACGAGGAGGAGGAAAAGGAGGAGGAGGAGGAGGAGGAGGAGGAGGAGGATTTCTAACATTAACCGTGCAGCCACGATACAACTGAGGGGCTGCGAAACCCTCGGAGGTCCCACTGGGTCAGCGGGGGGCCAGGCCTCGACCTGACCAGACCTGGACCCCCCGGCCGCGCTGCCGAAGAAGACGCGGAAGGCGTGGTCGACGCACCACGCCGTCCTCCTTCGCAGGCCCACTGGACTCCCACGGCTCGAACTGCCGCACCTCGATTCCCGTCGCCGCCGCCGCACCAGCAACAGCAGCCCCAGGCCCGCTCGGCGCAGCAGGCTCTGTCGAAGACACGGCCTGCCCACCTCCCAGCCACGGCGCCGCCCGCTCAGCCCTGCAGCGCCGCCAGCGGCGGCGACGGCAGGACCCCCGCGTAGCAGCCCATCAGCCCAGGAGTCGTCCAGCTCGGCGTCGATGTCGGGCGCGTCGGCAGCAGCCCCAGCCACCTGCACGAGCGCGAGGCCCGCGCTGGCCGCCCCAGCGGCCGCCCCAGCGCCCTCCTTCTTCGCCTCGTTTGTCTCGGTGTCCAGCCTGGCAGCCGCGCGCCTCGCCGCTCGGCGCTGGCGGCGGCGGCGCCGCCGTGCAGCGCGCGCAGTAGGGTCAGCTTCAGGACGAGCACCTTGATCCAGGTCGGTGCCAGCGGCATCGGCGGGCGGTGGCGATCCCGAGACGGCGAACGCCGCCGCCGAGACCGCCGAGCGAGCCACCGCCGCCACCGTGCGCCGCGGCACCCCGGGCGCCCCGCGCACGGCCGCCTCGACGAGGCGGGCAGCCGTCGCGGGATCCTAAGCCCCTCTAGCCCGACGCGCGGCCATCGCGGGGACGGCGGGGCGCGCACCAGGCATGCGAACGCTTGAGCCAAAATGACGAGGAGGAGGAGGAGGAGGAGGAGGAGGAGGAGGAGCAGGAGGAGGAGGAGGAGGAGGAGGAGGGAGGAGGAGGAGGAGGAGGAGGAGGAGGAGGAGAAGGAGGAGGGATGAGGATGGCCTGAGGGGCCCCCCCCTTCGGCGGCACCCGGCCGTCCGAGGAGCGCAGCTCGCACTCCACGCGCCGCCGCCCCGCCTGCGCCAGCAGCGCCTCCACGAAGGCCACGGCGCCCTGTCAGGCGGCGTGCGGGGGGCATTTGGGCGACGATCAAAAACGGGCCTTACGCGAGATGACACAGCGACCTTACGCGGCGGCTTACGCGGGCCGCCAGCGCGGCACGCTGGAGACGAGGACGCTTACTCGCGAGCTGACGCGGGCAGCTTACGCGCCAATGTCGGCGCAGACGACCCCGCTTTTCTGCGTCGCTCATTTCGGCGGCGAGCCCGGGGGAGCAGTCCCCAGGCGTCGACGCCCCGAGCCTTTCTCGGCCAATCGCCAAACGGAGCGGAGCGGCACGCTGTCAGATGGAAGGGCAAAGCGCGTCGCTGGGGGGCACCGCCGCGGCACGCTGAGCGGAACCTCCTGGCAGCTCGGCGGCGGGCCTGGGGGGGAAGCGAGAGGCGGCGGGCCTTTGCGGAAGGCGGCGGGGCCTCGCAACTCGCCCTGCTCCGATTCCAAGGGTCTTGAGGAGCTTAGCCGCCCCGATACGCAACACGCCACACGCAGCGTGTTGGCACGGAACTCGACATGTAAACGGAACACCGAGGTCGTGCGCGATACATTCGCCGACACCGAAACGTGGGCCGACACGTGCCGAGCCAATACGCAACGTGTTGACACGGACGTTTTGAACCCGGTAGGTGTTGCGTGGCAGCACGGGCGTATCAGGGCAGCGAGGGAGGGGCAACGCAAAGGGGGGTAGGCACAGGGTAGGATGCACCGACCCCCAATCGCCCATAGATTGCCGACGAGACCCGATTGCCCACCCGCCCAGGACCTTTCGGACTCGCCATCGTCGGCGACGCGCCCGGGGGGATGTGAGAAGGCGCAGGCCTTCTCAGAAGTCGGCGGGGCTTCTCCATCGCCCTCGATCCTTCGGAGAAATCTGCTGTGCCTTCGGGGAGTGCTCAGAGAACCGCGCAAGAGGCCCGAGGCCTCCCGAGCCTCCTGAGGAGGCCCGCCCCCTCGGACTTCCCCCCCTGGCTCGCCGCCGAGTACCGGGCGCGCGGCCAGGCCAGTCGACGGAGGGGCGGCAGTCGGCGGAGGGGCGGCGAGGCCGAGGGCGCGGTCGGGAAGGACCCTGCGGAGATCGGGGCGTCTCGTTTTTGGGGGGGGCCGGGCGTATCGTCTCAATGTTTCTGGCCTGGGGCCCCGGGACGCCCACAGACCGATCCGGCTCGAAGCACTGCGCAAAAACGATGGGGTCTAGGGCAGGGCTGGACCTAAACGTTGTTTTTCGTTTTGTTTTCGATTTGCTGTTTGTTTTGCTCTACCTGTTTTCCTGCGGCTCCCTCCCAAAACGAAAAAACAAAACACAGCCGAAGTCCAACAAACCAGCGTTGAGGTCCAGCCCTGATGTAGGGGTCCAGGCGTGATGTTGCACGACGCTTCAACTTTTAGACGTCGGCGACGGCTCTCAGGGGAGGTCGAGGCTGAGGGCCAGTTCAGAGGAGAAGCGGGGGCCACCGCCACCGAGAACGGGGGCTGCGGGGGGGAGGGGGGGGGATGACCCCTGGGGCGGTGACACGCACGAGCGTCATCCAGTTTGGCGGCGCGCACAGGGGGGTAGGGGGAGGGGGGGAAGGCTTCTTAGAAGAAGACTGCTTCTTAGAAGGCGCAGGCCTTACGTCTACAGACAAGACCCGCCGCTTCTAAGAAGCAGGGGTGCTTCCAAGAAACCTACCTTCTCGCCCCTACCCCCCTCTGCGCGTGGCCGACCAGTACAGGACGACGCTCAGGCGTGCCACCACCCAGGGGTCGGTCGGTCGCCCCCGATGGGTTCTCGGTGGCGGTGGTCAGTGCTGGCCCCCCCCCAACTGGTGGAGACACCTCCCTGGCGTACTTCGCTCTTTCTGTGGGCGTGCTGGAGACTCGGTCCTCGCTGCCACGGCTGGAGCCGCCTCGGGAAACAAGTCAGAATGGACCCCAGGGTCCGGAGGACGATTGTGACCGGACTCGGGCCGGGCGGGAAGGCCGCCGTTCTCTCAGCTGGCCCTCCTCTCTGAAGGTCTGGGAGAAGAGGAGACGGGGAGAGGGCCCGGCATCACCTGAGGCGTGGCTGTGTCGAAGATCCCGACCCTTTATCACGGGCGGGCGTGTGCGCGGAGTCCCCCAAAGGGCGTGGGCTGACAGCGCTCGGATCCGCGGCTCGGGCTGCTGCCGACCTGCCCCTCGGCCGTGCCGCCGTTCGCAGAGGCATTCAGAAGCAATGAAAATGTATGTGGAGCGGGTGTTGCGCAGCAGGTTCGTATGGATGACATGCAATGCTCCTGCATCATCCACGCCGTGGCTTCGTACATGGAGTGAAGGCCAATCGGATGTTGTAAACCCGAGGGCGGTTGCATTTGAAACGGGGTTGTGTTCCTCACCTCCCGCTGGCAGTCCCTTGGTCCAGACCTTCCGCTGGCCCCGAACTTCAGGAGGGAAAGGTTTTCGGAAATGTCTGGAAATTCTCAAACGTTTTCGAAGCCCGGGGTGGTCTCCATCAGCATCACCTCGTCAAGAGCGCTCTGGGGATGCCGGGATGCCGGGACTGTCACCGAATTAGGGTGGGGAGGGGGAGGGGAGGAGGGGGTTGGGCGGGAGGCAAAGGAGGTGGAACGGGGAGGGGAGGTGAATGGGCAGGGTGTGGAGGAAAGAGGAGGGGGGATGGGGATGTGCTGGGCACAAAGGGGGAGAATGAGAATTGGGAGGAGGGGGGAAGGTGTGGAGGAGCCGGGAGGAGGAGAGGGAGAAGGGGAGGAGGAGGAGGAGGAGGAGGAGTGAGGTGGCATTGATGCCTCGTCGGCAGATCACGGCGCGCGTGCACCTCCTGGCAAAAAAGGCTGCCCCCCGCACCCTTCGCCTGCACCCTTCGATTACCGACTCGATCAGGGACGGGGCCTCTTCCGAGGACATGCTGTTTGCCGTCGTCGCCCCGCCCGTCCCCGCCCTGACTCACTCCTGCTGCTGCCGATCCTCTTCCGCTTCCCCTCGCTCCAGCTCCAGGAACTTGCAACTTCCAGCTTCCCACCGTCTAGCTGGGTGAAGCCAGCTTGTGCTCCTCTGGGCGCATCGTTCAGCGCAATGGCCGCAGCTTGAAAGATCCCTCAAAAGTCGGCGCCTGGACCTTGCCTGGGGTGCGTTCTGGCCAAACTGTCGCGGGGAATCCAGCCGTGTCAACGAGAAGCCTCCGGGAGGCCAAGAAATGGGGGCAACTGCCCACGAGCCTCGATCATCGGGCCTCGATCATCGGGCCTCGAATTCCTCGAATCCCTCGAGCCTCGATCCACCTCCCGAGAAGCAGCGCCCACGGACATCCGGTGGCTCGATCGTTCGAGCAGAAGGTGCACCTCCCCTCCTCCCCGCCGGACCCTATCGAACCCATCCCCCTGGCGCCGCCTGCTTCGACCCCGACCCGTCAACTTGCCATCGCTCGGACGTCCATCCCCCGCTCCTTGTTTCGGCCTCGCGCGTGTATTTTTGTCCGCAGGATGGTCCAGGATGCTCCTGAGTAAGAAGAAAAAACAGCATAAACAAAAACGTTTGGAAGGCCGCGCGGAATTTTTGGATCTGGGCTAGACCCCCTCCCTGGCGCGCGGAACGCGCCAAGGGCGGCGCCGGAGGCGCCGCCGGAGGGCCCCAGCGCGGATCCGAAAAAGCCGCGCGGAGCGCCAAAAGTTGATGTTTACGGCATCCCTTCTTTCTCGAAAGCAGTCCTCGCCCCCCAAACTGTACACACGTCCGAGCGGTGCCAGGAGAGATGCTGCAGCCGCGGCTCGAGGCGTGCCCTCGCTCGCACAGGGCGCCTTCCGCCCGCGGCGTCCTGGCTTCCGGGGCAGGCCTGTCGCCTCGGACGGCGTTCCTCGGACGGCTGTCGCCACCTCGAAACAACCAGCGTCGAGCTATTTTTGTTTTTTATATAAAAAAAGGGTGGGGACAAGCTCGAGGCTAACAACCAGCCCCGAGCTTGTCCCCACCCCTAGGATCGACGAGCCAAAAAGGCGAGGACACGCTTAGGGATGTGCGTCCAGAAGCCGCGACGCAAGAATGACGAGGAACCCTTGCCAACTTCTTCCGTCGGCGGCGAGGCAGAGGCAGCCAGCGTGTGGCTACCCGGGGCAACCGAAAGGCGAATTGGCTGGTGTGCAGGAGGGAGGAAGAAGACGAGGGCGGCCGCGCGGGGGGGGGAGGGGCACGGGAAAGCGCTCAGACGTGGAAGAGCTCCGCGCCGAACCCTCACAGACAAGCTGTTCGGGGTAAAACCTCGGAGCCTGGGCGGCGCAGCCCCCGATCGGCGATCTATGAGCGATCGGGGGCCGACGCGTGCCACCTGAGCCTATCCTAGAAGGGAGAGAATCCACCCCCACAATAATCACCCCGACAAGCGAAGCCGTTTAGTAAACGCACCCAGGGAAGGAATCGAACAGGGCAGGGATGTTTAGTAAACGCCCAGGGCCGTTTAGTAAACGTCCATGGTCGGGTCCGGGTGGCTTTTTTCCTCCTTTGATATCCCTCCTGTCGTTGCCCCTTAACTCCGAGGCAGATCCAGCCGCGGCCGCGAGGGCGCCCCTGGAGGCGCAAAGGTGGAAGAAGAACGCTGCAGTGGAGGCTGGGCCACAAGAAACGTTCCACAAGAAACCCCAAGCCTGAGACCTCAGGACGTCCATGGATGCTTGGTGTGGGAACGTCACGTTTTCCATCGCAAAACCATCGAAACCCGAGAAACCCAGGTTACCCTGCAGGCAATCAGGGTGTTTCTCGGCATGGGCCTCCACTGTAATTAACAGACACTCGAACCTCGAATCCTGAACATCTGGGTGTCCCAGAACGTCTCATCGCTCGGACGTCCATTCCCCGCGCATTTGTCGATGCCGTGCGTGCTTTTGTTCGCAAGATGGCCCGAGATGCTCCTCGATGGTCCTTGACGAAAGAATGCGCACGCCCGAGCAATGCCAAGGAAACGGTGCGGTGACACAACGTGCGGTGACCTCGGGACCCCGGAAAACCTAACCGCACGGCCAGTCGCCGCGCGCTTTCGTGACTCTGGAGGCCCCCCATCGCCCGAGACGTTCTCCGAGAACGACCCGAGTCCCACGACCGTGCGGTCACCCCGAGTCCCCGCTGACTCGCCGCACGATGTGGCCCGCACCGTTCGGCTGCAAGCAGGAGTGACCCCAGGCAAGAGTGACCTTTGGTGCGCGGCGTTCGGGGAGCGAGGGGGGGGGGGGGGGGGGGGGGGCAAAACCCGAGCGCGCAAGCCCCTGCTATCGCATCGAATCCAGGCACCTACACGAGCCCCAGAACGCCCGCACCAACGGTCACTCTGGCGAAAGGTCACTCTTGCCCTGAGATCCGACTTCTAGAAAAAACTGAAACGTCGTGAGAAATCACGAATGGAGCCCCGGACCCCATCTTCCTGCGCCACTTTTCGAGCTGGACCCATCTGTGAGGGTCCTGGGGCCCGAAACTGGACGAAAACGTCCGGCTCGAAAAAGATTATGTCGCCAGGACCTCAGGGTCTTTCGTGCAGCCGAACCCCCAGGCCCCCGACGTCGTGTTTTTGTTCCGCAACGTCGACCCAGAGGTCTGGACCCCTTTCCCGTGACTGGCTCTTCATCCGGAGTTGTTTTTTGACGGCCCCGAGACCCGGCAAGTGCACCCGGAAGGGGGCAACTATCGCGACAAGCCTCCCGTCACGACGCGAGGGGGGCCCGGGCCACCTGGGCCGCACCCCGACAGCTCTTGCCGCCCTCCGCGCCGCCGGCGCCCCCGCGCCGCCCGCCTGCCCGCACAGGTGCGGCAGCGCGTCGGCCAGCAGCAGAGGCCGGCGGCGCGCCAGCTGCGCTGCCCCGGCGGCGCCGGCCATGGAGCGGCGCACCTGGCCGCGGGCGGCGTCGGCGCGGGGGGGTCCCAGAGATCCAACGCAACGAAAATATCAGGGCGGAGGTTTTTCGCAACTTTCGGCCTCGAAGGGCCCTCGCTGGGCCGCAGGAATGTTAAAAAAAAACTCAGGATGAAAAACCGGTGCTGGGGAATGGGTCGAGACTTCCGGGGACCCCGCATGGAAAAATCACGACATCGGATCTCTGGGTTCGATGGCGCTGGTTTCGCCGGCGTTGGCCTCGCCCAGCTGGTCTCACCCGCGGCTGGTCTCTCGGTGGCCATGAGAATGCCGGGGCTGGTTTCGCCAGGCCGGTCCCGCCGGAGCAGGCTTCGCCGACGGGCGGGCGGGACCCTGGCGGCTGCGTCCGCGGGGGGTCGAAGGGCTGGATCTCGGCGGTCCCAGGCCGAGGATCGAGGATGGAAGTTCGATGACTGTAGGACGCTCTTCGCTTCTTTCTGGGGCCCCCTGGTAGGCCTTCTTGTCGCAACGGCTGGATCCGCCTCGAGATCCTGGTCGAGGCGCTCCCCAGGATGGGCCCGGGGGCAGATCTGTGGCTCCCGAGCCGAGGAGATCTCATCTACTCGCGTCGTGGCGATCGAACTCTAGGTCTCAGCCGTTTTCGGCCTCTGGGGACCCTTGCTGTGCCCCTGGGACGGTCACAAAACGGCTCGGGATGCGGGGGTCCGGACCTCTGGTGAGCCACGCTTTGAAAAAAGTTGCGACGTCGGATGTCTGCGTGCAGCTCCGACGCGTCCAGGCTCCGCCGTTCAGGATCGAGGGCGACGATTGGATCGGAGCAGTCGGAGGATGGATCGATCGAGGATGGAGGACGGAGGATGGAAGACCGAGAATGATCGAGCGAAGGCGGGCGATCATTCGAGGTTGGATCGATGACGATCAATCGAGGATGGAGGATGGAGGATCGAGGCTGGAGGACCGAGGCTCGGAACGGCTTGGGACCAGCGGGGACGAGGGCGACGACGACACTCCGACGTCGAGCTCGAGGCTTTTTTCACAACAACTCTGGACGCGCGTTTCGATCAATGGTCAAAGACGTTTGCTCAGGGTGTCGGGCCGCTGGTTCTGAACAGCAGGTCACACCTCACGTCGGGTATCGCGCCCCGCGGTGTGCGGTTATCTTCGCGCGCTCGTGGGGCACCCTGGTAAGACGAAGCCAGGACGAAGATAGAGATCGGGTGAAGATTAATCGGAAATCTCTGAGATCCGGCGGCTCTGGAGGATGTCAAAGACGCCGCGGCCTTCTTAGAGCGTTCCCGAACGCTCTGAGAGCGTTCCGGAACGCTCTGGAACTGACTTAAGCCCCCTCCGACCAGGATCAGGCCTGGAACGATTATCGCGCGCCGATCGGGCCATGTTCGCACGATGACCTCCGCGCCCCTTGCGGAGGAGTTTTTGGGACGAGGGTTTGGGCCGAGATCGAAGATCGCACCTACTCCGAAGTTGTGCTGCCCTTGTTTGGGAATCTCCAGAGGCCTGCGGAGCTCTCCCGGGGACCTCCGCGGAGGCTTCTTGGGAGGCTTCCAGCAGCCTCCGAGGGTGCTGCTATTAAGCCCTGGCGTTTTCTCGGGATCTCGGCGTCTGAGGGCCTACGGGCCCTCGGATCATCAGAAGACGGCCCACGGAAACGAAACCAGCCACGGGGATGGGGTCAGCAGCTCTGGGGTCACGTCGTGGAGCAATCACGACGTCGAGTTCGGAGGCGGAGGCGACGCTGGCAAGCACCCACGAGAACTCATAGTCTGTGGCAGCCTGACCAACTCGTGACGGTCATTTGTTCACCCTCTGCCGCAGCTCAAGATGTTCCAGAATCGAAAGAGGCCTTCGTACTTGGATTCGGAGGACTTGGAAGCAACTGCTGCGATGTTTCGCTGCCCTGGTGCCCGATGGGTGGTGTCATGTAGCTGGGACTCTATGGCGCCTCCGTTGCTGCGAGTTCTCGTCCTCGCCCTGAGGCCCCACGTGTGGAGCCCTACGGCTGGTGCCGTATGAAGCCATAGTTGCTGTGACGTTGCGACGTTTTGTTCTCGCCATGGCCCCATGTGGGTGGAGCCCTATGGCTGGGTGCTCTATGATGCCCCAGTTGCTGCGATGTCTCCTTCGCCTGGGTGCTATATGGACAGTGCTCTGTGGCTTGTGCCCTATGGTTCCTCATTTGTTGCGGCCTCTCGTTCTTGCCGCGGTGGTGCCCCGCGACTGGTGCTCTGAAGTGCTGTCACGTTTACGAATTATCCGTCTTGCCCTGGTGCCCTTTGGGGGTGTTTTTTTGGAAGGTCTTCTCTTGATGCCTCTCTGCAATGTATTATTCTCGCCGTGGTGTTCCATGGGTGGTGACCGGTGGCTGATGCAACACTCCCCAAAAAACGCTTCTACTAAGGAGCTCTGATCTATGCCAGGAAGTATGGAATATACTCGTTGCGACTTCTCGGTGTTGCCCTGGTGCCCTGCGGGTGGTGCTCTATGACCGCTGCCCTTCGATGCGCTAACTTGTTACCACGATGACTCGTTATTGCCCTGGTGCCCTATGGATGGTGCCCCATTGCTGCCACACTATGTTGTGATGCCTCGGTCTTGCCATGGTACCCTAGGTGTTGCGCTCTATGGCTAGTGTGCTGTGGTGCTGATGTTTGTTTTGCCCTGGTGCCCGATGGGTGGTACACTAGCGCTGGTGCCGTATGGTGCCTCCAGTGTTGCGGTTTCTCGTTCTTGCCCTGGTGCCCTAGGGGTAATGACCTATGGCTACTGTCCAATGGCGCCTGAATTGCTGCGGCTCCTCGTTCTTGCCATGGTGCCCTTTGGGTGATGTATATTGGCTGACTCTCTGTCATGCCTTCATTGTTGTGGTTTCTCGTGACTGCCCTGGTCTTGTATTGACGGTTGACTCTGAAGCCTTCATTGCTGCAAGGTGTCGCTCTTGGCATGGTGCTCTAGGAGTAGTGCCGCGGTGCCCTATGGCTGCTGCCCTGCGATAATTGAGGTGGTCAAAACGTAAAATTTTCTGGTCGGGGGCGCCTGCCCCGGGGCGGCTGAAAAATTGGCACGGATGCGGTGGCACGTCGGGGCGTAATGTTGTTCAGCCGCTCTTTAGCACCCAGATGGCGAAACACATAGATGGTGCACCGTTCTTCGAGGTACCCAAAGACTGTAGGCCTGACGGAAAGCGGGGGGATAGCACAGAGGGGGTTGAGGGGGTTGGCGAATCAGCTCATGTGCCAGGTTTCCCCAGCGCCTCCTAGCGCCAATCTGTATCTAGAAATGCGCACAGCGACGGGGCCGAAACCAGCTGCATACAGCAGATTTCGCACTCTTGCTTTACCCCGACCCCCTTGCGTCCGACCCTGGTCTATGCGGAGGGCGAGATGAGTCTGGGCAGGCTGCACACAGAGGCCGCAGGGAGTCTTCACAGGCCTGTGGCCCTTGGGAGAAGCGCTCGTGCGAGAGGATGACATTGCAGGCGGAAGCTCCGCAGCCAGAACGCGCACCAAGACAAGGTGGGTATATATCCATATCCACCACCTGGAGGCAGTGGACGTGGATACGTTTGAGCCCCACGGCGCCAAGCTATCATGCCCGCCGTCCACCAGGGACCCCAAAGATCGATCCCCCGGGCGGAGGTAATGGATACTCCCCCGCCTCAAAGTTACGGCCCCAGGCCCAAAAACACTCTCCCGATTGGCCGATGCCCCTACCCCCTCCAGATACCCCCAAATGAATTACCAAAAAAGGACCCCTTAACCCTTTGGGAAGGGACCTAAGTTAGGAGGGCCAAACACATTAGGGATATGGGGTATTTTCTGCAGATGTACCGAACCAAACCGTCCATATTTTCTAAAATCCCTGATGCACAAACGGGGACCTCAGTGAGGCCACGTCTTCATCGTGCTCATGCTTGACCAAACACCCCCTGGAGCCCGTCCTGCCCAATCATTCTTCCGCCCAAGACCGAGCTCCAACGGCCTCAAGCCCATGAGACCGGGCGGACTGCACGTGCGCGCGGGCTGAAAGTGCGCGGTGTCGGCGACGCGATCGCAGCGACGAGGGCTGGGGGGGGGCCCAAACGAAACCATGGCCAGGAAAAGACCGGTCCACCTAATGCGTTTTCTTGGTCGTTGGATCGCCAACAATGTTCCCTTCAGCGCAGTGAATGACAGAATGGAGTTAGAATGTATGTTTCGCTATCTGCGCAGCGCATGTTTAGCTTTTCACAGCAGCAGCGGGGTATCAGAGACGGCAGGTCACCCAGCAAACAGGTAAAACAGGACAAGACCAGACTGGGACAAGCTGGGGATCTCTGAGACCTGGCGGTTCTGAGAAGGCCTGTCGGGCGCCGCGGCCGTTCCAGCGCGCTCCAGAGCAGCGTTCTGGCACGCTCCATCGCGATTCCTCCCGGTCATGGGCCGCCCGAGGTCGGGCCCTTCTTCGGTCCCAAGCCGAGCTGGACCCTGCGCGCTCGTCCCAAAAACACCGACCCGCAACACAGCAGAAGTCACTGGAGAGATCGCCCAGCATAATTACCCGCCAACCCCATGTGTGGCGGGTTGGTGAAACCCTGGGCTCCAAAAAAAATATCTCTTGGGCGGTCAACTTTTAGCTGGCGTCCACGGGCCTGCTGCCGGCGGGGACATTGTTTTACTCCCGCGTCGCTTCCAGGACGGGGTGCCACCTCTAGATCCCATGAATGCGAGGCCGTTCTGGAGCGCCCCATATGGCACGGAAGCCTCCCAGAAAAACGAAGAGGCCGACTAGACACTGAGGGGTTGCAACAAAGAGTGAGACGCCGACGCGCGCTGGAGGGAAAAAAGGTGGCCTCGAACGTGTTGCGCGGAACAATCGACCTCACGGCGGGTGTATTGTGCTGTCCCCTTCTCTCGCGCTCTCCTTCACTATCCGTCAATGGAAGAAGCTGGACGAAGGCCTGGAGAAGGCAGGGGGCGCCGCACTTGCTACAAAGGTTCTGTGGGAGCTTTCGCTGCCCGCTGTGGGGGCCGCGTGCGTGGCACAGGCGTGCAGGCACGGCGCATCGAACCCAACAGCCACCCGCAGGAGCAACGCAGGTTCCGCGGAGGAAGGGGGATGATAATGATGATGACGGTGGCGTCGCGTCGTTAAACATAACGATGACGATCATGACGATAATGACGCTGATGATGGTGGAAATGAAGAGGATGTTGGTGGTAATTGTCGTGGCCATGGTGAGGAAGAGGAGGAGGAGGAGGAGGAGGAGGAGGAGGAGGAGGAGGAGGAGGAGGAGGAGGAGGAGGAGGAGGAGGAGGAGGAGGAGGAGGAGAACGAGGAGGAGGAGGAGGAGGAAGAGGAGGATGGAGGAGGAGGAGGACAAGGATCGATCGATCGATCGAGCTATCGGGCCGATGTCGGGGGGTGACTCCTGCTCTAAGCTAGAATGAAATGGCGGTAAACAAATCTTGTTCGGCCTAGCTGTGTTCACTTCGTGGGAGGTCGCTCGCGCCACGTGGCGCTGTGGCCCTGCCTGCACCGGCTCCCCCCGCGCAGGGGCACCCGCTCCTCGCAGATGCCTGCTAGCCAGCTGCCTCCCACTCTGTGTTGGCATCCTCTTCGTCGCTCTCGGCGTTGCCCTGCAAGGTGCCGTGCGCCGTGACGGCCCCCGCGATTCCACCCGTGCCAACCCGCTCGAAGACGCTGGAGCTGGTCCACGCGGTGACGGCCTCCTCGATCCACACGTGGAACCTGGTGTACAACCAACGAGCCGTGACCACGTAGCCCTCCTCGGGACACCTCTTTACGACGTCGTAGACTAGATCGGGGAAAAAGGGCGGCATCTCGGGTGCCGCGTTATCTTCGCGCCCCCGCGTGCCCAGCGTCCACTCCTGGTCGTCGTAGCTCTCCTGCTCCTCGTGCGCCGCGTGGTCCTGTGTGCCCAGCGTCAAGTCCTGGCCCGCGTAGCTCTGCTGTGGCCCGTGCGTCGCGTCGCCCTTGTTGCCCAGCGCCACGTCCAGCTCAGCGAAGCTCTGCTGCTCCTCCTGCGCCATGGCGCCCTTGGTGTTCAGCGCCTCCTCCTGGTCCGCGAAGCTCTGCTGCTCCTCTAGGGTTGCGGTGCCCTTGGCGCCCTGCTTCGCATCCTGGTCGGTCTCGCGCTGCTGCTGGCTCGCCTCGGAGCTCCTGTCGTCCAGCGGTGTGCCCTGGTTGTCCAGCGCCTCTCCCTGGTTTTCGAAGCTGTGCTGCTCCTCGTGCGTCGCGGTGCCCTCTGTGCCCAGCGTCTCGTCCTGGTCCGAGTAGTTATGCTTTGTCTCGTGCGTCGCGTCGTCCTTGGTGCCCAGCGCGTCCGTCTGTGGGAAGCCCTGCTGCTCCTCGTGCGTCGCGGTGTCCTCTGCGCCCCGCGTTTCGTCCTGGCCCGCGTAGCTCTGCCTCTTCTCGCGCGTCGCGTCGCCCACGGTGCTCAGCACGTCCGTCTCGAGGAAGCTCTGCTGCTCCTTGTCCGTCGCGACTTCCTTGGCGCTCAGCGCCCCCTCCTGGTCTTCGAAGCTCTGCTGCTCCTTGTGCGTCGCGGTGGCCCTGGTGCCGTCGCGTTCTGGTCTATGTATATATACAGCTCGGCTGCTTCTCGGGCGTCGCGCGCCCGTCGCGGCGGCACTGCTCGCGCTCCTTCTCCGCCTCGTGCGCTGCGAAAGTGAGGAAGTTCAGCTGTATGCCTAGCGCAGTGCAGGAGCAGTCGATGTCTAGCGCGTTGTTGCGAGCTCGAAGTCCTCTTCGTTGCGCGTCGCCTCAGCGGTCCAGCGGGCGCATTGTGCACGGTGATCAGATTGCCATGCAAAGCGGGAGAAGCCGCGAGAGAGGCCGTTCACGCGGTCGCCTTGCCCATGCGGGCCGCCACCTCCATCATTCTACCACCACAAACTGCGCAATGACTGCATGGGGTTCGCTTGCGGCCCAGACATGCCTCAGGCCAAGATGGGAGCTGGAGGAGGAGGAGGAGGAGGTAATTTTGGGTCAAGTTCGCCAGCTCGAACGAGCCAGAGGGCTCCGTCCACTCCCGCCCGCCCTCCCGCAGCATAATAAGCAAGTGCGTCGCGTCCGACGCCTGTCGCTCATCTTATACGCGGGCGGCTAGACGTTCAGCGCGCGACATGAGCTGCGTCCTACTCCTGCCGCGTATTGAACAACGTCGACGAGAAACAAGACCACGCGCGATGTGCGCAGCGCCCCGCTCCGGCCTCTCATTTTGCATCGTCGGCGACAACATGTCCAGCGCGCGAAGTGCGCCGCGTCTCATTCTTGCCACCCGCGTTGCACCGCCAATCGTTTCGCCCCTGCCGCGCATGGAGGAGGGGGAGGAGGAGGAGGAGGAGGAGGAGGAGGAGGAGGAGGAGGAGGAGGAGGAGGAGGAGGAGGAGGAGGAGGAGGAGGGGGAGGGGGAGGGGGAGGGGAGGGAGAGAGGGAGGGAGTGAGAAACTGAGGAGGAAGAGGATAATGCCTCTTGGGAATTCGCGGGGCGTCCCAGTCCCGCTACGTGATTCGCAGCGCCGACGAGGAGAAAGTACATGTTGGCAAGAAAAACGTCGAAGTTGCGGCATATTTTTTGGCAGGTAGGACGGAGAGCCCCGCGCAGGGTTGGCCGGGCGTCCGCGCGCGATGTGCGCCGCGTCCCGTGCCTGCTACACATTTCGCAGCGCCGACGACAAGAAATTCCACGTTGACGAGGAACACGTTAACTTTGCATTGTTTTTTGATGGATAGGACGCGACCGCTTAGGGTTACCCAAGCGATGTTCATTCCATCCCATTCCTGTTGAACTTTTCGCAATTCGACGACACGTTGGCGGGGAAAACATGAATTTGTATTGTTTTCTGACAGTTGGGACGGCGGGGTTGCCATCGGCCGGCTAGCCGGGGATGTGGAGGCGTTTAATCACAGGAAGTAAAGATAAAGACGCTTGGGGGTCGTAGTTCCTACAGTTGGACCAAACGAAAAAGCCAGGCCCCTGCGCGCGCCGCGTAGAAGCAAGGCCCCCCGTTTGACTGCGAAGGCCAGATTGCCCGGAGCGGCGGGGTCTGCCAGGCCTGGCCGGCGAGGCGTCGGCGGAGTGACGCTCCGAAGCTCGCAGGAGCACGTCGCATGCAAGGGAAGAGCGAGTGGGCCGCCGGCCCACTGGGCGCGCACCCCTTCCCGAGACCCACGCGCCCGGTAGGAAAATCAAACTCCAGTCTTGGACAGTGCTTCTCGGGCGACCAATGCTACTCTTACCAGCTACGTACTCACATTGGTCTCACTGGGCGTCGTGGCCCGCGGTCGGAGGTGGGCGGGGGAGGGGCGGGCGAGCCGCTTGCGCCATCTTGTCCCGTGACATCTGCGCGAGCTGGATCAATGATGCGCGCTGCTGGGGGTCTCTCCTGACGTTCGAGGTCGTTGCCATCATTGCAGCGATGGTTGTTCAACCTCTGAGCATCCGAGAGATAGCTTCTGCTCTTGCAGTCTCCTCCACATGGATTCCGCACTGACCATGCAAAATCTGTTCAGTCGAGTTTTTGACTTCCCTGATGGCGACGACCGTGGCCCATCGAGCTGTCGGCGGGCCATTCTGGTATTCATCCGACCTCCACTGGAGCAGGCGCGTCCCGATTATCTCTGCGATGCCCGGCATGATCCCTCTACTGTAGTACAATCTGTGGATCGGCGGAAAATGCGCACTCCTGAGCCTCCTCGGCAAAGCGGTCGAGCATTGAATTGAGGGGGGGGGCAACGGGCCTCAGGGGCTCTCTTGCGGCCCTTTTTACGCTAGTCTCCCTGGCGAGACCGCCCGCGGTTGCCTTCCACTCGCAGCGGTGGTAGCAGCGCCCCTCGTGCAGCCCGTCACTCGCTATGTGTGTAGCCAGATGTTCCTCGTCGATATTCGCCGCGCGTTTTGCGACCCTGCCGCCGTGCCCACCCCGCATTGCGAAGCTGTTGTCTCCTGCCCGAAGTCGGTTGGTCGTCGCGACGCCTCAAGGCCTCTCCGTCGGTTTGCTCGACGCCCTGGGGTAGGTTGCCCTGGGGGTCCGGGCCGGCGAGTTGTGCTTTTCCAGATTGGCCCTCGAGAAGCGGCGCTGCGTGCGCGTCGCATACTCTGCCCATCGACTGGCCTACTATTTGCCGCTACGCTCGTCCATCTTGTCTTCGGTGCCCCGGTGGTCTCCGCCGCTCATGGTCTTCGCGTTGCGCGTTGGCGGCCTCTGCCTCGTCCTCCATCGCGATGCTGGCGACGCTCTTAGCCGCGTGCACGTTTGGGCCTCCGTTGAAGGTGCCCTCCTTCTTCTGCTGCTCGTCTTCGTAAATGCGGATGGTCTTGTTCGCGTTCGCGCCGAGCTCGCCCTGCATTTATACCATGCAGCGCGCCCAGATTCCCCCCCTGATCTCTTCGACGCTCACGCCGTCCTCGGACACCACCTCCTTCTCGCCCCGACTGCGCAACCGCCCCAGCGGCCCCCAAGTCCCCGCGCCATCCGGGTCGAAGGCAGCCCAATGTTTCGGAGAAACACACTTGCTCGCGCCCATCTTCTGCCAGCCACGCGCCACCTACGACTCCTCGTCATCTGGGCGCAACGGCGCAATGTGCTGCTGGCCGGTATGTTCGCATGTCTGCCCGACCTCGTCACGCGTGAAGAACCGCTTCTCAAACGCGACGCCTACGACTCTCAGCAAATGCCCGATGACATGTTCCAGCTCCGTCGCGTGGAAGTGCGGAGTCACGATGTCAGTCACGATATGATCCTCTGCGGCGTTCAGGCCGTCCTCCTCCTGAACCATGGCGTTTGTGATCACCCGCGCCGCTTTAAGCTTCCGCTCCTGCGTTTCGTTAAGCGCCTCGTGGGACCCCCCGTCT